TGCCCCTCACCAGAGGATTTCAGTAGATCCACCTGTTCTGCTCCTCACCCTGTCTCTGGTGGATCTTCTCACCCCCTCCCCTTCTGGCCTACACCCCAGTTCTTGTATGCATAAATAAAGAAAAGAAATCTTTTAAAAAAAGATAATTTAAGTGTTTATAAAAATGATAGACAAAGAATGTGCAACTTTCAAATCAATGGGAGCTGAGGAAATGGGGAATAAAGGAAATTTGATCAACCCAATAGAGTGCAGCAAGGGAGAAAAAAGAAACATAAAGAAAAACTATAGACAACACAAAAATTAGTTGGTAAAAATCAATTAAAATGTATCATCAGTCACCATAAACACAGCATTAAAAGTTGAAAATTGTCAGACTGGGTTTTAAAAAAATTCAGCTACACATACTGTTTCCTGGAAGCTCACGTAAGAATATAAGACAAAGAGAGGCTAAAAGGAAAATGATGGGGAAAGATGTGTGAGCTCCATACTCACAAAAAAGGTGCTGTGGTATATTAATTACTGGAAAAAAATTATTAGGCATAAAGAGGGGTACCATATAGTGATAAACGGAGAAACTCATCAGGAAGCTTTAAGAAACATAACCTGTTTATATTGAACAACAAAGTTCTAAAATCTCTAAAACCAAAGTTGGCTAAATTTCAAGGAGAGATTGCTAAAGACACCATCATAGCAGTGTGATTTTAATCCACAAGTATTGGTAATTTATAAATCAAAATTAGACAGGAATTTGAATATCCAGTAGAAATTTCCAACAATGCAATCACCACGCTTGACATAACAGAATATGTATAATCTCCTTGCAGCCAATAATCCCAACTGAACAGGCAGGAAACCTTTACAGAGTCAGACATGTTCAGGCCTACAGAGAAAAGCTCCCCAGCTCCCCAAAGGCTGTCTCCGCAGGTCGCCTCCTGTGAGCCCATTGCAACCAAGCAGGGGTCAGCGGCCCGGGTCAGCCCTCCCTGGCCTGGAGTGGCCTCCCAGCCTGGGCCGGGGCTTCTTCCTTCTCCTCACAGCAAGAGACCATGTGACCTTGAGCGGGACAGTTCTTCCAGGGCTGCTGCACACACCTGAAATTTTAAATAAGCGTAGTTCTCAGAAATTTCTGAGGAAAATATATAATTGACATTAGAAAATCAGAACAAGGTGAAATTAAAAATACTACTTTCAAGAGTTAACGGGCATAGCTAAAGTGGCATTTGGAAATTTATAACATTAAATGCTTACTATTAGAAAAGAAAAACTAAAAATTAATGAGGTGAGTTATATGAAATAGAAAATAAATCAGCTTAATAAATTAGAAAAGAATCATAAGAAAAAAAAAGTGTAGAAAGAGATAAACAGAACAGCATAAATACCATAGAAAACAGATGATTTATCTGAAGTGCCGGTTCGATCCCCGGCCGCCGGTGAGGGTCCCACATGGTGCGACAGACCTCTCCTGCCGCGCCCGCTGCTCCCCTCAGCGTTGTGTTTCATCGGTCTGCCTGTTCTGTTCCCCGCTCTGGCTCTGGTGAATTCTCTCACCCTCCCGCACTTCTGATTGTACCCAGTGCTTGTATAAATAAATAAATCTTAAAAAAAAAAAAAAGAAAAGAAAACAGATGATTTAAAAAGTGAAAACTGACCTTTGGAAGTATTTATGTTCCTAGTAAAATAAAATGTAACAAGTCAGACTCACGATGGAACAGAGCCCAAACATGCCAATAGACATTAAAAAGCCAAAAACGAGAGAAATTCTACCTGTAGGCTACCAGGCCAGGCCCGGACAGCTCTACCACCGGCTGGGTCTGCAGGCCCCTGCCTCAAACTGCTGGGGCTGGGGGACTGTGCCCTGAAAGCCTGGCGGGAACAGCGGCATGCAGTTCGGCTCTGACTGTCCACTCGGCCAAGGTCTGCTGAGCCTGTGGGCGCAGGCACTGCCCAGGCCCTGGGCGGCTCTGGGAGACCTGCCCCGGAGGGCACCTGGCAGCAAACGGGGGTGGGGGGTGGGGTGTGTCCTGACGTCAGGGTGCCCTGGGGAGCTGGGGGAGACAGGAAGGGCAGCTGGGGGCCCCAGCAGGTCACTCCTGCCTTTTCTCCCTGAGTTGTGGTGGGAACAAGGGAGGCTGGGGTTCAGGGACAAGGTGAGGAAGCATGTGTGGGTTTAGGGGTGAGGGATGACTCTGTGGGGGCCACTGCAGGCCGGTGGGGGTAGCATTGGTGTGAGAGGAGGGAGGGATGATGTGATCAGGGGGGCACAGCTGAAGTGAGAAGAGAGGGAACAGGAGAAGCCAATGTGGGTGCCGGGAGGTGGGGCTGGGGCACAGACCACCCAGGCTGGACAGGGTTTAAGATGGGCGGGCACGAGGTGCTGAGAGCTGGGGCTGGGGGCTGGGGTCAGGGCTGGGGCTGGGGTCGGGGCTGGGGCTAGACTGTAGGAGGTGCTTTGCCCTCTGAGGCCCCCTGGTGTGTCTGAGTGTGGAAGAAGAGGAGATGTGAGATAATGGGTCTTTCTGGACCCCTGGCCTTGTTGGAAGGGGTGGGTAGGATTGGGGGCTAGGAGGAGAGACCCGGGGAGCAGAGGGGTGGGGACGCATCAGGGGGCAGGCAGGGCGGCAGCGGGTGGGCGCAGGCGCTGCCCAGAAGGTGTAGGGCAGGCAGTGAGGAGAGGAGGTGGCGAGGGGCCTGAGGGGCTTTTATTCTAGACAAAATCGGGGCAAAGACATCCCTGTCCCTGCTTCCTCTGGAGCTACCTTGGCGGCCGTGGCCAGGGAAGTGTTATGGGCATTGTTATTTTTGCTGCTTGCCGGGGTGGTGTGGAGCCGGGGGAGTGTTGCAGGCTGGGAGCTGCTCATTATGTGCCCGAGTACGTGCCAGGCCCCTGGGAAGTGGCCCTGACTGGGACTCTGGGGTCACCTGCGTGTGTGGCGCAGGCCCAGCTGATTGCCCAAGATGTGAGGGTCCCTCCCAAGGCCTGGCAGCCATGAGGCAGGACCAGGGTGGGGTGGCCGGCAGGGGAGGCCGGGAGCGTGCCGTGGGCTCTGGGCTGCCAAGCAGGCAGGCGCGAGGCTCCCGGGCCAAGGGCAGGGCTGCAGTCCTGTGTGGGCAGATGTTGTCTTGTGTGGGCACCTCTGGCTCCAGCTCCCTGGCTCCCCGGTCCCGGAGAGGGGCCCGCGGCCTACAGAGCGCTGCAGTGGACAAAGGGCTGTGCCCAGGGGATCGGCAGGGGATGGCAGGGAGGGGCAGGATGGGGTGGGAGGTTCTGGGGTGGGTAGGGAGTTGGGGCTTGGGCGACCTGGGGGGGGGGGGAGCCAGGCAGGAAGATGGTGGAGACACAGGAGAGCTCTGGGAAGCATTAATTTCCTCCCCGCTGGGCTGGGCCACAGGAACCCAGCCCTCTGCTTCCCCAGGTGCTTCCTGCAGATAAGGGGGTTTCCTGGCCCCCCTCCCGCCCCTCCCATCCTGCCCAGACCCCAGGGATCCTGGCTCTCCACTCAGTCCAGGCCAGTGGCCTTGGGAAGAGCAAGAGGGGCTGGGGCTGGGCGTCCTGGGGCCACACTTCCGCAGGGAGGGCCCAGGCTTGGGGGGCAGACAGGCCCAGGCCGCAGACGCCAGAGATCCGCCGAGGGGTCACTGCAGCCCGGGAGGTAGAGACTTCCCTGAGGGGTGGTGGGCAGGGGGAGAGGCAGGGTGCCCTGGGGGTCAGCGGGCCGGAGAGGAAACTGCTCTGGGGCTGACCCAGGCTGCCGGGCAGAGGGGAGCTCAGGTCTGTTTTGGGGGGTCGTGGTGGGCAGGTGAAGGCGGCTCTGCGGGGAGGGGCCGTGCTGGGCGGCGGGGCCAGGGGCATCTTCCCGGGTGGGCTGCCGCGCGCCCTGGGAGGGAGGCCGGGGCCGGGGCCGGGGCGAGGGCGCGGCCGGCCGAGGGGTCTCCGCGGAAGTTGAGGCCGCTGCGCCGGGGGTCAGGGCCAAGTCAGGGGGTCAAGACAGGCGAGGGGCTTCCGGGGAGCCAGGCGCTGTCCTCGGGCGGCCAGGGGCGTCGGGGCCCGGAGGGCCGCGCTCTGCTTTCGGCCCCGGCGGCGCTTCCCCGCCCGGGGCCGTCCCGGGAGCTCGCGGCCCGGCCGGGCGCGCTCCAATGGGGCGGCGGCGCCGAGCTCGCTCCCTCCCGGCGCTCCCCGCTCCTCCGCCCACTCGTCACCCCCTCCCGCGTTGCCACGACAACGCGTAAAACTAAAATTCACTTCCCCGCGGCAGGTGGGGACTCGTGGCGCCCCCTCCCCTGGCCCAGCCTCGCGGGTCGCGCCCCCGGGCAGCGTCGCCAAGGCGACGGAGGGGCGCGGGCCGCCCGCCGACCCGGCTGCAGCGGCGAGCGCGCGGCGGCCTCGGCCCGGGCGGGCTCCCCGAACTCGGCCGGGGCGGGGCGGGGCGGGGCGGGGCGGGGGCGCCGAGCGCGGCGCGGTCGCGAGGGCTCCCCGAGGGGAACCGGCTCCCGCCACGGGACGGCCTCGCGCCCCCGGCCGGTCGCGCCCCGAGTCGCCACGGCCCGCCGGGACCCCGCGGGGCCCCCAGCCCGGGGGGGCGGCGGAGTGGGGGAGACCCGCCGCCCCCGGGCATTAACCCGCCTGTTTTTCTCTCCCCTTCCCGCCCCGCTCGGCCCTGCCGCCCCAAGGCGCCCCCACCGCAGCCCCGGGACCCTCCTCGCCGCGGCCGGCCGGGGTCGGGAGCGCCCGCGGGCCGGCGCGGGGCGACGCGGCCGCCGCGGCTCAGCCACTCCCCCCGCTCCCGGGCCTAGGACGCCCCACGCCCCCCGGGGCCCCCCGCGCGAAGCCCCCCGGCCCGCCGGCCCCCGCGCGGCGCCCCGGCCCGCCGGCCCCGGCCGCCCCGGGCCCTCCGGCCCCCGCCTCCGGCGCGGCCCCCGCCGCCCCGCGCCCCTCCGGCGCGGCCCCCTCCCCCCGCCGCCCCCGCCCCCGGGAAGGCAGGCGCCGCGCGGAGCCGGGGCCGATGCAGCTGAGCCGCGCCGCCGCCCCTGCGGAGCCCTCGGCGCCGCCGTCCCCCGCGCCGGCCCCGGCCCCGGCCCCCCCCGGCCCCCTCCCGCGCAGCGCGGCCGACGGGCCCCGGCGGGGGGACGGGGGGGGCCGGCGCCCCGCGGAATCCCCGCGCGCCCCGCTCCCGGCCGCGAGCGGCGCCGGCCCCGGCGCGGGGATGGACGGCCCCGGGGCGAGCGCCGTGGTGGTGCGCGTGGGCATCCCGGACCTGCAGCAGACGGTGAGTGCGCGCCCGCCCGCCCGCGCCCGCGCCCGCCGCGACCCCGGCCCGCGCGCCCCTCCCCTCCCCTCCCCTCCCCTCCCCCCGCCGCCTCCGCGAGACCCTCCCCAGCGGCGGGCGGGCGGGGCGCGGCCGGGGAGCGCCGCCCCGGGGCGGGGCGGGGCGGGCGGGGCGGCCGGGGCCTCCCCTTCCCGGCGCGGAGGTGCGGGTCCTGCGCCCGGCCCGGCCCGGCCCGGCCCGGCCCGGCGCGCGGGGCTCGGGCTCACCGGGCCCGCCCGCCGCCCCGCAGAAGTGCCTGCGCCTGGACCCGGCCGCGCCCGTGTGGGCCGCCAAGCAGCGCGTGCTCTGCGCGCTCAGCCACAGCCTGCAGGACGCGCTCAACTACGGGCTCTTCCAGCCGCCCTCGCGCGGCCGCGCCGGCAAGTTCCTGGACGAGGAGCGGCTGCTGCAGGACTACCCCCCCAACCTGGACACGCCCCTGCCCTACCTGGAGGTGCGCGCGGGCGCGGGGCGGGGCGCGGGGCCAGCGGGCGGTGCCCAGGGCGAGCGCGTGCCGTGTGCCGCGGCCGCACGTGCGGGGCCAGCGCCCGTCTCGGGCCTGCTCGGAGGGCGCCGCGGGGCGCCCCCGCCCCCAGCCCGCGGAGCCCTCGCCTCGCCCGCCCGGTCCCGGCGCTCCGCAGGCGTCGTGGGAGCGGAGCGGGCCGCTTGCTCTCCGGGCGGCTCCGGGGCAGGAGGGCGAGTGTGGACCGGGCCGTGGAGGACGAGGGGTTCGGGGCGTCCGGAGTGGGAGTGAGGAGGGGGCATGCGGGGGGCGGCCCGGGCCTGCGCCCCCGGGCCGCGTGCGGCCGGCGGAGCGGGCTCTGCGCCAGGGGCCTGCAGGCGGTGGGGCCTGGCCCCGGGGACGGCGGGCCGGGGCCTGGCCGCCTGGCTCAGCGGTTTTCTCTGCCGGTCCCCTGAGCAGTTCCGCTACAAGAGGCGCGTGTACGCCCAGAACCTCATCGATGACAAGCAGTTTGCAAAGCTTCACACAAAGGTAAGGGACGGTCTTGGGGAGGGGACCCAGAGGTCGGCTCCCCATGCCCAGTGTCCCCCGGCTCCGGCCTCGACTGGGTTTTGTGAGGTCAGAACGTCTCCTTACATCCCTTCCGTGGGCCTGGCCGGTCCTCCGGCTGTGGCTCAGTCTGGCTTTTCCTGTTGTCAGGGGCGCGGAGAGGTCATTGGGCCGGGGGCGGCTAGAGGGAGGGGCAGACCCCAGCACCGTGGCCGTGAAGTGGCCGGCTGGGGGACCCCGACACAGGGGGAGAAGGGTGTCCCTGTAAGAGCCCACATGTGAGAAGAGTGAGCAAACTTCTGATGTGGTCACGGGGGTGGGGGTGGCGAGGAGAGCAGGAAGCCCTGTGCTTGCTGGCCCCTCGTGCTGGGCACGTGCAATCGGGCATCTCGTGAATCTCCTGCTGGGTGTTATCCTGTCTCCAAGAGGAAGAGGTGAGCCTGGAGGTGGGCTTGCTCAGACTGCAGTGGCTAGGTGGTGCTGAGCCCAGTCAGGGTCCACTGCTGGGCATTGCTGCTGGGTGGGCCTGACCCTTCGTGTTCTCTGGGGGGGCTGGTGGGTACATGGTGCCCACCCTGCTGACACTGACAGTCTGGGGCTTAGGAGAGGGTCTGAGCCTGTCACCCCTGTGCCCAGCTTCTGTGACCCTGGAGCCTCTGGGCAGCCTTCCCTGTGGCCCCAGGACATGTGCTCAGCAGCAGGCCTGTGGCTGGGGACAGACTCCCCTTCCGCAGGCTCTGAGTGAGCCTGTGTCTGGCGGCCACTCAGAGCACCCTCAGCACCCTGGCTCCCAGCGGCCCTCGGCCTGCTTGATCTTAGATGAGTCTGGACCCCTGACCGCAGCTCTGTGCTGCTGTCCACCTCCCTCTGGTGCCCAGGTCTGGCTGAGGTCTCACCCCCTGTGTGAGCACCCTGCCTCCTCTCTCGTTGCCGCCACCCACCAAGGCCTGCCCATCGGTCCCTGTGCCCGCCCATGGACCCCTGCCCGCAGCTGTGCCAGAGCCCAGCCCGGCCAGCAGTATGGGCACCCGTGGAGCTCAGCGGCACTCTGCTCCGCGGACCAGCTGTGCCTGTTATGCCTTGTCACCGAGGGGCCGCCAGTGTGGGGAGGGCCCAGGGTGGGCATCTGCTGTGGGTGAACTTGCCAGGTAGGTGGGCCAGAGAAGGATTGTTCACTCTGGGCGTGATGAGCCACCAGGCTGGCTCCTGCCAGAGCTGCTGGGCACAGAGCCTGGGCGAGCAGCCTGGCAGGGACATCCTGGGGGCACGGCCAGGGCACCCTGGCCTTGAAGAGGCTCAGGCCGCAATTGTTGTGGACTTGGGGTACGGAGAGGCCCCGGCTGGCTGGGATGGGGCCGTGATGGGAGCCTGGCCTCGGTGACAAGCTCGTGTTGTAGGGCAACAGGTCGGACTGAGGGCAGGGGCAGTGGACACACCACAGATGGGCTGAGACCTGCTGGTGGAAGGCGGGCAATGGTCAGAGGGTGGCGGCCAGGTGCCAGGCTGACCAGGCGACATTCCAACATTCCAGGCGAACCTGAAGAAGTTCATGGACTACATCCAGTTGCACAGCACAGACAAAGTGGCCCGCCTGCTGGACAAGGGCCTGGACCCCAATTTTCACGATCCTGACTCAGGAGGTGAGAAGCAGGATGGGAAGGGGCGTGGCCTCGCTGCGGCTGGGGCGTGACCCTCCCGTCTTTGGCCCCAGAGTGTCCCCTGAGCCTCGCTGCGCAGCTGGAGAACACCTCGGACCTGCTGAAGGTGCTGAGGAATGGCGGTGCCCACCTGGACTTCCGCACGCGGGACGGGCTCACCGCCGTGCACTGCGCCGCGCGCCAGCGCAATGCAGCTGCCCTGACGGTCAGCGAGGGCCATGCCCAGGGTCGGGGGTGGGAGGAAGCCGGGCCCCTCGTGGACGCTGAGGCTCATCGTCCCCAGACGCTGCTGGACCTGGGTGCCTCGCCTGACTACAAGGACAGCCGAGGCCTGACGCCCTTGTACCACAGCGCCCTGGGGGGCGGGGACGCCCTCTGCTGTGAGTTGCTGCTGCACGACCACGCGCAGCTGGGTGTCACCGACGAGAATGGGTGGCAGGAGATCCACCAGGTGGGCAGGGGGCCTGTGCGAGGCCCTGTGCTGGGTGGGTGGGGCTCCGGGCAAGGGCAGGGCCCTGGGCTCAGTGGGCGGGGCTCCTGTCTCCTGGGCGGGATGGCTCCTGTCTTCTGGGTGCTACCTGAACCTCCTCCCCAGGCATGCCGCTTCGGGCACGTTCAGCACTTGGAGCACCTGCTGTTTTACGGAGCCGACATGGCGGCCCAGAACGCCTCGGGGAACACTGCCCTGCACATCTGTGCCCTCTACAACCAGGTGTGGTAGCCCGTATGCACGTGTGCGCCCATGGGTGTGTGCTGCACCCTGCAGGGAGCTGGTGCCCTGGAAGCGGTGCGCACGCAGCCATGCATGGCCCTCTGCATGGCCAGGCGGGCCCGTGTGTGGTCCGGCCCCGCCGGAGGGCCACCTTCTGTGCACTGTCCGCGCAGCTCTGCGTGTGCCTGCGCCGTGTGTGACTGTGCGCCCCGCGCTGTGCGCCCGCCCGCCCTCAGCGCCCAGCGGTGACCCGCCCCCTCCCCCCTCCCGACAGGAGAGCTGCGCTCGCGTCCTGCTTTTCCGTGGAGCCAACAAGGACGTCCGCAATTACAACAGCCAGACAGCCTTCCAGGTAGACCACAGGGGCACAGAACCCGACCCCCCCCATCCCCTGTCTCTGTGGATTTTGCCTCCAGGCCCTTGGCTCTGTTCCTGGGGGTGATGAAGAGCCCTCACCTCACATGGCCTGGCCGAGGGGGGAGGGTGGCCGCCAGGGAGAGAGGGAGGCCCAGGGCTCCGGACGGGGAGGATGTGTGGGCCTGATCGGCAGAGGCAGGCAGCAGGGCCCAGACCCGACTAACTGGCCGCTCCTTCCCGGCTGGCTCTGGCTAGGCAAGTGGATGGGTGGACCCGTCTCCGCATGGCCTGGTGTTGTGGGGCAGCCTGGGGGCCATGGCAGGGGTACGTTTGGGCCACGGAAGGAGCTGGGGCTGTTCTGAGTGGGAGAGAGGACCCATGGTGGCCGGCTGTCCTGCCGGGAGCGGAGGCGGTGGTGGTGGGGTCAGGCGGGCAGATGGTGTGTGAGGAGACCCTTGAGAGAACAGGGGTGACTGGTGTGTCCACTGGGCCCAGGCTGGCCTGGTCTCCACCCTGACAGTCTTGTGTCTTGGGAATGCTCTCAGCCCCAGGCAGACTGGGGAGCCGGTCAGACAGGGCTGGGGCCGGGCCAGGATGGGATGGGCAGGAACCCCTCCCAGGAGTGAAAGGAGCCCCCAGGGCTGAGGGGGTTGCGCAGGGCGCTCCTGAGCCTCCCGGCCCTCCCTCCCCAGGTGGCCATCATCGCAGGGAACTTTGAGCTGGCCGAGGTCATCAAGACGCACAAGGACTCCGATGTTGGTGAGTCCCGCCCCCCGAGTGTGGGGCCATCTGGTCGCGGCCCCCACACCCCCTCCCACTTGTGGTCTGCGGCCCCGCACCACCCACCCGCCCTCCTCGGCCACTCCTACCCCGTCTCTCGAGCACTGTTCCCGTACCCTCGCTGTCCCAGCTCTGGCTGGGGAGCTCGTGGGGTGCTGGTTCTGACTGAGCGGGTTTGGGGCAGACTGCATCTCAGCTCCAGGTGGGCCAGGGCCCATGAGCCCTCAGTGCCCAGCTGTCCAGAGCAGGACTTGGCCAGTGGCACCCCGTGGGCCAGGCCCAGCCCCACCTAGTTATTTTTTTCCTTTAAAGTGAGGCTTTTAATTTGAGGATTTAAATTTCATGTGAAACTGAACTCCCCCGACATGACGGGATCTCAATAACGACTCGTGTGTGCTCACAGAGCAGTGCAGCCAGCTCTGTTGAATTTCAAAACGTTTTTGTCACCCTGACGGAAAGCCCATGACGCCGCACCCCCCCCCCCCCCCCCGACGCCTGAGTGCTCTCCCTGCCTGTGTGGACTTCCCTGCTCTGGATGTGCTGTGTGGCCCTGAGTGTGGCCCTGGGGCCTGGTGTCTCCCACCCTCTGTGCGTGGTGTGGGTGAGTCCTCCCTGCTGGTGCCACTGGACCTTGGGTTGACCCGCTGTTCCTTGAGTGGCTCTTGGGCTGTGTCTACGCTCTGGCTTTGCGGGACTTTGCTGCTATGAACGTGTGTGCCTGCATTTGCTTGAGTACCCGTTTGCTATTCGCTTGGGTATCGCTGGATCACATCATTCTTTTTGCTAACGCTGGGTTTGGTTTGCTTGTCTTTTTCTAGTTCCTTGATAGGTATAATAAGGTTATTGCATTTTCATTTTCATTTATTTATTTTTAAAAGACATATTCATTTATGCATAGCAGAGGTGTGAGGGGGAGAGCGGTGAGAGGACTCCCCAGCGACAGAGTGGGGAGCAGAAAAGGCAGATCCACTGAAAGACACTGCTGAGGGGAGCAGCGGGGGGACAGGAGAGGTCTGCCGCGCCCTGTGGGTCAGCATCCTGGCCAGGACTGAACTCTCACTGCAGTGGTTGCTGACAGCTCCGTAGTGCTGAGACTTAACCCCTGGTACCCCCAGGGAGGCCCTACTGAATTTTTAATGTGAATATTTAATGCAGTTTGTTTTTGAGGAACTGCTGATTATTCGCCACTATTTTACATTCCCACCAGCAATGTACCAGGGTCACACACTCTTCACATCCTCACCAGCACTTGTTATTACCAGTTGTTGTTTTTTTTCTTTCTCCTGATTGTAGCCTGTCGGGTGTGAAGCAGCATCGCCTCACGGCTCTGAGTTGTATTTCTCCGATGGCTAATGATGTTGAACATCTTTTCATGTGTTTTATTAGTCATTTGTGCTTCTTTGGAGAGCTTTCAAGTCCTTTGCTCATTTCTTGGTTGCTCAGAGGACGCGTTAGAAGGCATCCCTCCTCTTGTATTTTTTCAGGAAGAGTTTGGAAGGGATTGCTGTTAATTCTTCTCTGGAGGTCTAGCAGAACAGAGCAAGGATGCGTCTGGCTGGGACTTCTCTTGTTGGGGGATTTGGATGACTGACCCAACCCCCGCCCGTCATAGGTGTTTACATTACCTGTTTCTTCTTGAGTCAGCTTCAGTAATTTGTGTTTTTCGAGAAATCCATCTATCTTATCAAGCTTAATTTGTTAGCATATACAGATATTCATAGTATATCGTATTCCTTTTGTTTCTGTAGATCACCAGCGATGCCCCGGATTTCACTTATGATGTATTTGTTTCTGTTTTCTCTTTTTCAGTCAGTCTAGCTAATGGTTTGTCAATTTTGTTGATATTTTCACAACTTTAGGTTTCATTGATTTTATTTATTTCATTTATCTCAGTGCAATTTTTATTACCTCATTTTTTTTGCTAACTTTGGGTTTGGTATGAGTTTCTTTTTCTAGTTCCTTAATAGGTATAATAAGGTTACTGAATTGTAATGCAGATGTTCATAGGTATTATTTTTCTTCAAAAAGCACTGCTTTTGCTGCATTCTATATGTTTTGGTATGTCGTATTTTTGCTTTAATTTGCCTCAAAATATTTTCTAACTTTCCTTGTGACTTCTATTTTGACACATTGGTTATTTAAGAGTAGGCTGTTTAATTTTCTATAACTGAGGATTTTCCAGGTTTCTTCTGTCCTTAATTTCTAGTTTCATTGTATTGTGATTAGAGAAGATACTTTGTATGATTTCATTCTTTTAAAATGTATTGAAAATTTATGTGTGCCCTAAGTATGGTCTATGCTGTGGAATATTCTGTGTGTGCTTGAGGACACTGTGTCTCTGCTCTGTTTTGTGGATTATTCTCTCTCTAGGCTCAGTCGGTTTAAGTCTTCTATGTCCTGTTGCTTTCTCTCTCGACGTTCTATCTACTATTGGAAGTGGGGTGCTGAAGTCTTAAATATTACTATAGGGCTCGCCACTTGTGCCAATGTTTGTCTCATGTGTTTGGCTCTTTGTCGCTTGGTGTGTTTATACTGATTTTTAACCTATTTGATGTCCTTCTCTGTCACTGGCAATATTTCTTATCTTTCAGCCTATTTTGCTAATATCAATGTTGCTACTCATTGCTATTTTGGTTAATATTTACAAAATAGTAGAGATATCTTTAGTTTTTCATTCTAAAATACTTGTGTCTTTGGTGCTCAGTGATTTTTCATAAATGGCATATAGTTGGATTATGGTTTTCTTAAGCATGTTGGATTATCTGCTAAAAAACCAAGTTTTACTGGAACTCAGCCATATCCAATTTTTTATATATTGCTTGTGGCTGTTTACCTGGTCTAGGCAGTGTTGAGTCCTTGCATAGGGATTGTGTGGCTTGTGAAGCCTGAAATAGCTGCTGCCTGCTTCCTTGTGGAGAGTCTGCCAGCCTCTGGTCTAGCGCATGTTTGCACTTTCCTGGTTAGCCAGTTCCTAATGGCCCCGACAGCGCATGGGGTATGGCCCGCGCTGTCTCTTTCAAAGCCTGGGAGATGGGCAGTTCCATGAGCAGATCTGAGTCCCGCAAGACCCCATCTGGCTGACAGGAGGAGCAGGCTTTTTTCCCTGAAGCGGGAATCAGAGGGAGCTAGGGGTGTAGCCCCTTTGGCAGTTTTAGCTGTAGGGTGGCCATCTGTCCGGGGACAGAGAATTTTGGTTTTAAAATCTGGAAAGCCTGGCAAGCCAGGACAAGTTGGTTACCCTGTTTGGCTGCCCAGAGTCTCATCAGTGTGCCTTCCCGCCCCCCCCCCCCCCACAGTACCATTCAGGGAGACCCCCAGCTATGCGAAGCGGCGGCGGCTGGCCGGCCCTAGTGGCCTGGCCTCCCCTCGGCCTCTGCAGCGCTCAGCCAGTGACATCAACCTGAAGGGCGAGGCTCAGCCAGCAGCTTCTCCGGGCCCCTCACTGAGAAGTCTCCCCCATCAGCTGCTGCTCCAGCGGCTGCAGGTGGAGAAAGACCGGGACCGAGACGGTGACCACAACGATGCTGGGGGCCTTGCAGCAGGCAGGGGCTCCCAGAGCAAGATCAGGTAGGCAGGGATGGTGAGCCCTGGCTGGGGCCCGGTGGGGGGGCACCCAGATGCAAGCCAGGAGCGGCCAGCGTGGGAGGCAGAGAGGCCCAGTGGTGCCTGGTACTTCTGCAGTAAAGGGCTGAGGCTGGGGCTGGACTCCCAGGCCCCCAGATGGCCTTGCTGGGTGGAGAAGGACAGAAGGCCGGTCCTGTGGGCAGATTCCCCCACTCTGGTCTCTGGTTGAAGCTGGGCCTTGTCCTAAGGACTGTGGGCCCCCGAGGGGCCTGTTGGGAGGAAAGTGTCTGGTCAAATCCGTGATTTAGACGATTTACTGTGATGCCAGGGAGGAGGACGTGGGCTGGGCCAGTCAGCCTGGGCAGTGTGTCATGAGGGGTTGGGAATGGAGTGTGCTCTTCATGAGGGCTGGAAACCTGCAGGTGATTCCAGCCCATTCTCCAGGGACCCTTGGTCTTTCCTTCGCCCCTCAGGCCCTGGATGACTCAGGCCTCTGGGGTCTGCTGTACTTCTCACATGAGCCCTGGGGGCCTGGAACCTGGGACGTTCCAGAGACTTGGTCTCCCCAGATCTTGGAGTAGGAAGCCTGGTGTGGAGCCTCACAGTCGCTCCGGTGGCATGGCCAGGAGTGCAGACAGACCGTCAGCATCCAGCATGGTCTTTGTGTCTGACGGGGGCCAGGCAGGTCAGCTGACCCCTCTATGCCAGGGGCTCCCATCCCAAGGCAGGACTAGCCATTGCCTTCAGGAAGCCGTCTGGAGCCCGGCAGGTGGGGACCCTTCCTGGGGTCCCGATGGTGGGCCCCTGGGAGCATGGATGAGGCGAAGGCTCGTCAGATGCGGGCAGCCCAGGGTGGGAGGGGAGGGCAGCCGGGCCCTGAGCTCGGCGCCCGCAGAGGGCTCAGACAACTTCTTCCCTGCGCCATCCCTGCTCTCGTGGCCTGCGTGGTGGCCCACCGACCGTGTCGGGCGCCTCCAAGGCGCGTCCTGCCCAGCCCGCCGTGTGCTCCCCAAGGCTGCGCATGTCTCCGGGTCTCCTGCGGGTGGGACGGCCGTGGCCAGAACTAGCTTTGGGTGTTTTGGGGTCGCAGAGGGTCATTCCTAGTCGGAGTGGGGACCTGTTCCTTGTTGGTTCACCTCCCTCCCCGCTTCCGGCAGACGCCACCTGCCCAGTGCGGCTCCCGGGCACGGCCCTGGGACCGCAGCCCCGTGTGGATGTGGGCTCACAGCCTGCTCCAGGGGCCCAGGACAGGACACGTCCGCCCAGCCAAGGAGCAGGTGGTGGGCAGTGACCCAGGCCGGTGGCCCTCCCTTGAGAGCGGCTGGGGGTCTGCAGCCCTTAGGAAGGGCCAGCAGGGAGAGGGACCCGCACGGGAGCCGTTGCCTTTGCTCACAGGACTGGAGGTGGCATCGCGGCCGGAGGGGGTGCAGGTCTTGGCAGAGCCTGCACGGAGCCCCTGGGCCCCCGGGTGGCAGAGCGCCTGTCCCCACCCTGGGCAGGCGGGTGGGCGAGTTGGAGCTGAGAGCCCTGACCCGCGCGGCGGCCGGGCTCCAGGAGTGCACGTGCAGGGGGAGAGGAAGGCCCGAGCGTGGCGGGGCCTCCCGGGTCTGGCGGGCGGAGATGGCGGCCGCGCTCCCAAGGGCCGGGGAGCCAGCGCGGGCTGCGGAGCGGGGGGCGTGCGGGACCGCCGGGCGTGCGCCGTGGGCCGTGGGCCGTGGCCGGAGGGCGGGCAGCGCCGCGGGCGAGGGCAGCGGCCGCGCGGGCGCCAGGGCCGCGGTCCGGGCGGGTGGGCCCGCGGGGCAGCGCTCGCGGGAGCCTCCCCGGGGCCCGCGCCCCTCCCGGCTCGCCGCGCGCGGGCGCCCGCCGCTCCCGGCCCGCGCCGCAGTGCCCGGCTGGCCCGGGCGGGCGGCCGGGGCGCAGCCGGCCCCGCCGCCGCCCGCAGAGGGAGGAGCCGGCCGCGGGAGGCGGGGCGCGGGCGGCCGCGGCATGGAGCGAGCCCGGCGCGCCCGGGAGCGCAGCCCCGCGGCCCCGGAGCCCTGAGCGGGCGCGGCTCGGCGCTGGCGGGAGCGGGCCGGGCGCGGCGGCGCGGCCCATGGAGCGGCCCCGGGCCGGGCCCCCGGCGGGCGGGCGGGCGGCGGCGGGCGGCGGGCGGCGGGCGCTGCGGCGGCGGCTGCGGTGAGGCCGGCGGCGGGGCCGGGCCGCGCGCCATGGAGGCCCCGGGCGCCGGCTTCGCGCGCCCGCTGCCCCCCGGCATCGCGTCCGTCACCTACGTGTTCGTCTACAGCCCGAGCGGGCCCGGCGGCCCCGGCGGCCCGGGGCCCGCGCCCGCGCCCGGCCCCGCGCCCCCCGCGCCCCCCGCGCCGCCGCCGCGGGGCCCGAAGCGGAAACTTTACAGCGCCGTCCCCGGCCGCAAGTTCATCGCGGTGAAGGCGCACAGCCCGCAGGGCGAGGGCGAGATCCCGCTGCACCGCGGCGAGGCCGTCAAGGGTGAGCGGGCCGGGCCGGGCCGGGCCGGGCCGGGGCCGGGGGCGGGGTCGGGGCGCGCGGCGGCGGCCTGCGGGGCGGGCGCCGGGCCTGGGGGCTCGGCCCGAGCGCGGCCGGCGGTCCTCGCGGGGCGCCTCTGCGCGGGGTCCTGGCGCCGCGGGGCCGGGGCCCGCAGCGGAGCCGCCGCCGGGCCGCGAGGGTTCCCGGAGCACCGGGTGTCGTGTCCGGTGGGGACGGGTGAGGGCGGGACCCCACCCCTCCGTGGAGCCTCCGCAAATTGTGGGGCTCCTTTGTGGCTTCTGGGACTTCCTTGGGGGGCCCTTCCGTGGAGGCCCTTCCTTGGGGGGCCCTTCCATGGAGGCCCTTCCTCGGGGGCCCTTCCCTGGAGGCCCTTCCCTGGAGGCCCTTTCTCGGGGGCCCTTCCTGGGGGGCCCTTCTTTGGGGGGCTCTTCCTCGCGGGCCCTTCCTTGGGGGGCTCTTCCCTGGAGGCCCTTCCTTGGGGGGCCCTTCCCTGGAGGCCCTTCCTTGGGGGCTCTTCCCTGGAGGTCCTTCCTTGGGGGGCCCTTACCTGGAGGCCCTTCCTTGGGGGGCCCTTCCCTGGAGGCCCTTCCTTGGGGGGGCCCTTCGCTGAAGGCCCTTCCTTGGGGGCCTGTGCTGTTGTGGGGACCCGTGTGACAGTGCCTGGGTGTCTGCATCATGAGGGATTTTTCACTGGGAATTCCTGTGTCCCAGGGGATCTGTGCCATGGCCAGCTCCCCTAATTTGAGTATCTCTCTCATCTTTGGGGTCCCATCCTCTCCGGTGCCCCAGGAAGAAGCAGCTATGTCGTCAGCCCTCCTTGGTCCACCTTGTGGTCTAGCCCTCTATCCACAACACAGTGACCCTGAGCTCTTGACAGTGACCCCTGGGGCACCGGGCAGAGCAAGAAGTGGGAGGAGAGTGGTCAGCTGGGAGGGCAGGAGCAGGACCAGGGCGCCTGCCTCTGCTCCTGCCCTCCCTCGAGTGTGTCCATCTGTGTGTCTATCTGTCCCCCACATGCCCATCCTGTGCTGTGCCCATCTGTTCGTTTCTTTTTCTCTGTAAATCCCAAATCTTCCCAGGGAGTCAGCGGGGAGGACAGAGCAAGGGAAGGGAAGGTGAGGGGGGCGGGGACTCCCGGTCCCAGCCCTGATGGCCTGCCTGGCTTCTGTCCCCCAGTGCTCAGCATCGGGGAGGGCGGCTTCTGGGAGGGGACCGTGAAAGGCCGCACGGGCTGGTTCCCGGCCGACTGCGTGGAGGAGGTGCAGATGCGACAGTACGACGCCCGGCACGGTGAGTGACCACCTGCAGCTCCCGCCCAGCCCCTTGGGGCTCGCTGGGAGGAAAGCACAGGGCACTTGGGGAAAGAGCCAGCGCAGCCACACCTCCTTGGAGAAAAGACCAGTGTGGACTCAGACACTCATCCCGAGTGGGTGTCCCCGCGCCCCAGATGTCGCCCCTCAGGACTCTCACGCGGTGCGCGGCTGGATGGGTGCCTGGGGCCCTGGAGACTGCGGCGTGGCCCCAGGACGCACGTGCCGCCGTGGGGCTGTCCGTGACCCCGCGACCCCACCACACTCGCCGCTGGAGCCGTGTTCCCCAGGCCCGCAGCCTGGTAGAGAAGTTGGTGTGAGAAAAGCGGCGTCTTTCCAAAGTGGACAGATTGTCCAGTGGGCGGTCAGGGAGGCCTGGATCAACCAAGAAGAAGTGAGGCCAGTCAGGCCTGGAGGTGCTGCGGGGTCCGGGAGCCTTTTGATCTGAAGCTGCATCCTGAGCCTGCTGGGGTCTTGAGGGCAAAGGCTGTGGCTTCCCTGGTCCTGATGCCCCAGGCCACCCGTGAGGACCCCGGTGTGGGGGGGTGGTAGCCTGTAGAGCAAGGTCTGCTGGGCAGGGCTGGTGCTCCTGCCGCCTGGGCCTGTGTGGACTGGTGGGGCTCAGGCCTTTGAGGGCTGCCTTTGCCTAGGGAGCGGGTAGGTGCGGCCCCTCCTGACTGGTGGCCTCCACGGTGTCTGGACAAGGGTGCAGCCCCTCCCTGCACGCAGCCTGCCTTAGGTGGTGTTTCCCCAGAGGCTGGTCCCCTGGGTGGCTTGGACCCCTGCTCTGGGGGGGGGGGGGCCAAGGCTGCGCACGGGCCCGGCTCCCCCTGGGGGCTGTGCGAGGGCTGAGTGGCAGGGGCAAGGCGGCGGCCACCGTGGCCGGGCAGGCCCTGTGCCCTAGCGTGCCCACAAGGTCCCGGCTGGATAACTGCGTGGGTCCAGGGCTGCTGGAGTCTGAAGCTGGGGAGGGGGTCTGGACTGGAGTCGGGCCTCAGCAGGCAGGTATGCTGGGCGTGCCTGGAGGCCAGGGCATAGCGTTGGCTGGGCCCTGGGCTGGTCTGAAGGGTCAGGGAGGCCTCTCGGCAGTGATGTGGCTGTGTCGAGCCCAGGGGCTGGCACACCTGGGTGGTCGGCCGTGGAGGGGCGACCCCAGCAGTGCAGCGTGGTGGGCGCCTGTTCGACTTGTTGCTGTGGAACTCGGCGCCCGCCGGAGGTCCCGGCAGGCTGGGAGGTGGCCACCCTGTCATCTGCGGCTGGCAGGGCAGTTGGCTGTGGGCGCCTGAGGAGGCTGCAGGGCCCAGGTGGGCGGGGATTGGGCAGGCAGAGTGCACGGCAGACCATGTGGGGGAGGGCGAAGGCCCTGTGGACTGTGAGGGGCTGGGGGCGGGGGGTGTTGCTGAAGCCTGGAGGGGCCACAGGGTAGCCTGGGGTGGGTCTGTGCCTCCTGGCTGCTGGCCCTGGGTATGACCATGGGTAGACAGGAGCCTCTTGGCAGATGGAGAGGGCTGAGGAGGTTGCCTGGGGGCATCACCACCGCCCTGGCTGCTGGGCTGCCCAAGTTCCGCTGGAGGGTGGGGGTACCGTCTCCTGCAGGCCCAGATCCGGAGAAGTTTATTTCTGAGTCTGGGCGGGGAACAGAGAGGCTCAGAGGCCTGGGAGGTCCCTGTGCCCGCCCATGAGGCCAGGCTGGTGCCGCCGTCCAGTGGTGAAGGGGCAGGGCCAGTGATGCCTTATAGACAGTGGAGCTGGTCTGTGGACACCTGGAGGCCTGTCCCTGGCCAGAGTCCTCCCCTGCCCCGTCCTCCCCTCACTCCTGCACCTACTCCCAGTGCCTGGGATGTGCTGGGCTTCACCTCAGCTGCTCCTGTGCATCTGGCGGACACTGGAGTCTGCTTGGTGGACTGGGTCTGGGATGGGCCTGGACCGTGGCCGCTGCGGGCAGGCTGCGGGGGGGCATGGGCCTGGGCGGCAGCAGGGTGCTCTGATGCCAGGGTGGGGGCTGCCCACTGCGCCATGGCTGGGCCTGCGCGGGGCCGAGGATCTGCGTGGTGCTGGGCGGTGTGCGGGGACGGCAGGCTCCGCTCTCTGAGGGCCACGCGGCTGGTGGCCCCAGCGCCCACACGCGCTCGTGCTTTCCTCCGCGCCTTGCTGCTCCCACTCTCACCCCGCCCCGACCCCTGCCCACCCCGCTGCCCGCGTACTCGCCCATCCGCCCTCCTGCCGCCCTCCGCCCACCCAAGCCGCCTGCCCACCCGTTGTCCATCCCACCGACCTGGCCACCCCTCCTCAGCCCAGCCCCCGTCGCTCTCCCCTGGATGCTCCCGCGTCCAGCCTGCATTCACTTGTCGTGTCCACCCTCTGCCTGGCGGGTCAGCTTTGGGGTGCTGCATGTGCCGGGCTCTGGACGTGAGGGGCCCCAGCCCACCAGGCAGAGCTGGGGGCACAGGCCATCACTGCAGCTCAGAGGGCCCCTCCCGACTCTGCCCGCCACTGCCCACCACAGCAGCTGGCTGGCTGGGGGTGCCCTGCTGTTGCCCCTGTGCTGGGCTCAGCATCTTTCTGGAGTGGCCTCCACGTGACCTCCTGGGCTGGGGCCCGGTTGGCGCCCACCCCCTTGGACATGTCAGGCCACGGGCGGCAGGTGGAGCTTGTTCCGGCCTCTGGGCTGTTCTCAGGGCGTCAGACGGCCCAGGGGACAGTCGGGGGGCGTGGTGGACCTTGTTGAATGAATGCTGTGTCCTGAGTGGCACTGGGATAATGGCCGCCAGGAGGCCACGTGCGAGGGCCCGGGGCCGGGACTGGAGGAGGAGGCGCCGGGAAGCCAGGGGCAGGGGTGCGCCGGCCGGGGCAGCTGAGGGTGGCTGGACCCCGCGGCCTACAGGCAGGGCCGGAGCGCTCTGGGTGGCGGGGGGCACGCTGAGGCCAAGGGCAGAGATGGGCACCCAGTGGGTGGCCTCAGGGGCCTGAGGGCAGGCCTGGCCCATAGCTGGCCCTGGGCCCACGTGAGGCAGGGTCTGGAGCTGAGGGCTCTGGCTCTTGCACACGTGCGTGCACGTGGCCAGCATACCTGAGAGCATCGGCTGACAGGTGGCAGCAGCAGCAGATGGGCCGGAGTCTCTGGAACACGCCCTCAGTGGCCTTGCCTTGGGGTCGGCTGTGTCCAGCCCCTGGGATGAAGCTGCTGCCCCGGCCCGTCGTCCACCCCAGAGGCCTCTGATCAGAGGGCCTTGGGCCAGGACCCAGGTCGGCCCTCACCTGTGCGTGGGCGCAGCCGGCAGGGAGTGGGTGGGAGCTGGGACCGGCCGGGCTGCGGGGCTGTTCAGGCCAGCGGGAAGCCATGACCCTTCGTCAGCTCTTGAAATTCCCCTCAGAAACCCGGGAGGACAGGACGAAGAGACTTTTCCGCCACTACACGGTGGGCTCTTATGACAGCCTCACCTCACACAGGTACTCCCCTCACACAGTGAGGGCTGGAGGGCAGGTGGGGGGCAGGTGGCTGGGTAGGTGGGCAGGCTCGGGGGACACCGTGTAGGGGGAGGCAGAGCTGGTGGGGGGGCCGGAGGGAGGCGGCCCAGCCCCTGTGTCCTGCCTGCTGGGTCAGTTGGGTGCTCTGGGGCAGGCGGGGGTCAGCCTCGCCGGCCCCCTCACCACCCTGCGTTCCTCCGCCAGCGACTACGTCATCGACGACAAGGTGGCCGTCCTGCAGAAGCGGGACCACGAGGGCTTTGGCTTTGTGCTCCGGGGGGCCAAAGGTGAGGACGGGTGGCGCGCTGGGCATCTCAGCTCTGTGCACCTCGCCTCACCCCCGCCTGCCCTCCCTCCCTGCCCCTCCCTGCCTGTCTGTCCTTCAGCTACTCTCCGCCCCCCCCCCCCCGCCCCTGCTCTCCAGCCCTGCCCCCCACCTCGCGGCGCCCCCCCCCTCCCCGACGGCCTTCCAGCGCCCGCGCCCAGTGTCCGCCGCGGGGCAGGGCTCGCGGACGGGGTCTTCCTGGGGGTGAGGGGTTTCCCGGCCGCCCGCGCCTCCCTGACCGTGCCCCCCCCCCCCCGCAGCCGAGACGCCCATCGAGGAGTTCACCCCCACGCCCGCCTTCCCGGCGCTGCAGTACCTGGAGTCGGTGGACGTGGAGGGCGTGGCCTGGAGGGCGGGGCTGCGCACCGGGGACTTCCTCGTGGAGGTGAGCGGCGGCCCGCGGAGGGGGGGTGCGGGGGTCGCCCGGCCCTGCCCACCGGCCCGTCTGTCGCAGGTGAACGGGGTGAACGTGGTGAAAGTCGGGCACAAGCAGGTGGTGGCGCTGATCCGCCAGGGCGGGAACCGCCTGGTCATGAAGGTGGTGTCGGTGACCCGGAGGCCGGAGGAAGACGGGGCGCGGCGCAGAGGTGAGGGCGCCCCGTCCGCGCGGCCCGCCCGCCCGCGGGGTCCGGCCCGCCGCGCCCCCGCCCCGACCCGCGCCCCGATCCCGCCCCCGCGCCGCCCACCGCGGAGAGCCCTCCTCCCGCGGCAGCTGCCTGGAGGCCGGGTTGCCATGGCAACCGTGAGGTTGACGCTGCCGCGCCGCGCACTGTGGAGGGAAGGGGGAGGCGGCACCTGAGGGAAGAGGAAAAGCGTCTTCTCCCCGCGCCGACGTCGCGGCTCCGCGGGCGCAGGAGGCTCCGCTGGCCCGGCCCGGCCCGGCCGGCCGTCCCGCTCGCGGCCCTCGCGCGCCCCCCGAGGGCAGCGGCCCCGGGCCTGGGCCGGAGCAGCGCCCGCGCGGCCGGACCCCCGCCCAGCCCCCCACGGCGCGGGCGCCCCGCTCAGCCTCGCCGCCGACGGCCGGTGGGCGCCCCGGCGGGCGCCGCCCCGCACCGACACCCGCGGGCCCGGGCCCGCCTCCGAGCCCCGACGCCGGGCCCGCCGCCCGGCCCGAGCCCCCAGCGCCATGAAGAAGTTCGCGTCCAGCCGCAGCCTCAACAAGATCCTGGCCCAGTGCGACTCGTCCTCGCGGGAGTACGAGGAGATCCAGGCGGTGGAGCGCAAGTGGCACCTGCACCTGGCCACGCCGCGCCGCCTGCTGCTGGACCGGAGGGCCAAGGCCTCCCTCTTCTTTGCAGCTCCGCCGCCCCCCAAGAGGGCCCCCAGCACCACGCTGACGCTGCGCTCCAAGTCCATGACGGCCGAGCTCGAGGAGCTTGGTGAGCGCGGGCCGGGGGGCGCGTGGGTGGGCGCGCGGCGCGGGGGTGCAGGGGCGGCCTCTCCGGCTGGCCTTCACCCCATCGGCAGGGTGGTGGGGCCTTTGCGCTTTCCCTCTTGGCGCCTGCTCGCTCGTGGTTGATAGGGGGATGCCCTCCAGGGCTGGGACCACGCTGGTGGGTGAGATAGGCCCGCACAGGCTGCTGGAGGCTCACACGGCTGTTGGGCTCTGATGGGGCATGTTGCGGGCACCACCCCACCCGGGGTCACCACCAGCGGCCTCACTGGGCGTCCTGGTGCACGTGGCTGCTCCTAGCCCCATCCTGTCCGTCCCCACACGTGTGCTGGTCAGCAGCAGCCACCCTGTGGGCATGTCTTCACCGCTGTGACCGCTGACAGTGCCATCACAGGCATTTCCAGATGAACATGGCCGCATCTGACCATGAATGGTATCCACGAGCGGCCTGATGCACCTGGCCACCGGCACCTGTCACGGGGCACGCCCCACATGTGGCTGTCAGCATGCTCTGCCCTTCTGTCATCTGAGCCTGGCCCCATCCCCAGACTTTTCTCTAATCCCCAGCATTAGAAAGAGCCCTGAGCCGAGCTGACCCAGGCCTGCCCACAGGAAGGGCCCCAGTTCTGGCTTGACATGGAGCCCCAACCCTGGCTTCAGGCTCCGTTCTGCCCCAGCCATAGAAAACACTTACCTGGTCCCCAAAATTACTCCTTACTCCTGGACCCCAGTCCTTGACTGAGCCCTGTCTCTGTCCTGGTCACAGACTAGACGCCCCCTTAGCAAGTTTGTGTTCTTGACTGCAGTTTATTTCCTTGTGGAGAATAGCAACGGAGACAGAGTAGGCTGACATGGTCGGTATTTTCTTCCCCATAAAAATTCTGAATAAGATAAAATTCCTAAAACACACAGCAAACTCAAAACAAAGGAAGAGGAATCTCCAAGTCTCAAAAATGAAGACAAAAGTCAAAGCCAAAAGAATGAGAGGAAGCCAGTGCTTCCAGCATCCGTGAGGGCTGTGATGAGACCCAGGTCCTGTGGGCCAGGTGTTGGGGTTCTGACAGCCCTGCAAAGCCAAGATGCATGACCCATGAGGAGTGGGAAAGCTAGAACCAAGCCCAAGAACTGGAGTGAGCATCAAGAGAACTGCAAATTGTAGAGGAATATGAAAGAGCCAAGACGAGAGACTTAAATAGAAAGTATCGGAGAACTACCCGCTCCGAATGAGAAAGGACAATACAAAACTGAACGAGCAGATTTTAAAAGGAGCCTGAAAGAACTGTTGCTGCAACAAAAAGCAGAGCTGTAGAGTTTTAAAATCCACAACTGGGATTTTAAACCCACCAGGCCAGACCTCACCGAAGAAAGAGAAAGCAAATTTGAAGATAAATATGAGGAAATTACCCAGGATGCAGCACAGAAAGATAAGGAGATGCAAACTATCAGAGAGCAGATAAGAGGATGTGTAAGAAAGCCCAGCCCGTGGGGGTCCAAAGGCGCTGACCAGACATGGACGAAAGATTGGGTGAGAGGCAGTATTTGAAGAGCAATGGGCTAAGAATTTTCCACACTTGAACAACTTCAAAGTATAAGTCCCAAGCAAGGAAATAACAAATCTGCCTGTGCAGGCCGTAGTAAAATTTACACCACCGTCAGCCTCCGCATCCCTGGAAAGAGTGGGGGATCAGACGACTTAACGATGGTTACGCTGACAGCCGACTTCACTCAAAAACGGTTGGTGCTTGAAGACAGTGGAACGCTGACCTCAAAGTCTTGCTTCCAAATGCCTTTGCGCCTAGAATTCTATACCCAGCTCTACTTGCTCATTCAAGATGGAGGCAAAACAGCTAGCAGACTTCTGCCCCAGGCTCACAAGACTCCAAGGCTGGGCAACCGATCCATCATGCTGATAAACAATTGATAAACAAGTACCTGCAGGTTGTGGGGTCTGGGCACCAGATCCCACCCCCCCACATACACACCGACCCCTGGGCATGTCCTCCTCCTGCAGAGGCCCTGTGTTTCTGCTCAGAGAGCTGCTTTGCAACCTGAGATCTGCGACCCAGGGGCCCCGTGGAGACAGGAAGGCTTCAGCACTCTGGGCTGCTTCTGTCTGAGAGAAGCAGCAATGAGGGTGCTGCTCCCCTCTGCTCCAGTCTGCTGCTCAGGACAGGCTACCCCATAGACCCAGTCTCCCAGCGGGTCCACTCCTGCAGCCCCACGTGGACGACACTCTTACCAGCTTTCCCTGAGCAGACTGGGGGCTGAAGGCATGGCCTGGAAGGGTCTGCACCGCTGGTTTGGGGTCCCTGCTCTGGTTGAAGCAGCACCAAGGAGCCTGGAGCTGTCCTGGGTCACCCACCATCCTCTGACCAGGCCCCTCCAGAAACGCCTGGTTTGAGGAAGCCAGAGCAGCCCGACAGTGCCTGAGGGATCTTCCCCGGTTCAGCATGCAAGCTTCGGCAGCCTGTCCGCTCTCTGCCATGCTGCCCTGTAGGGTCCTGAGAAGACGGTCTGGGGAAACTGGGACCAAACAGTAAAAGCAGGTGGCGGGGGTTGTGGCTTGTGCCCAGGGGCCACCCGCTGCTGGGAGGGTGTTAGGGAGAAGCAGGAAGAGGAAGAGGAAAGGGCGTCCTGGAGGGAGCAAAGGCGGCACCCACAAACCCGGGGGTGCAGTGACTGGCAGATGCAGGACTGGGGGCGGGGTTCTGGGGGGCCCTCTGCCTGGGACGGGAAGGGCAGACAATCCTGGTGCCCTCAGCATGGGGCTCCCTCTGGTTGTCCACTCTCCTGGGCTGAGTGGTGCTGGCTGCAGGGGTGCTGGGCCAGGCCCCTTCCCCTTCCCCCCCCACCCCCCACCAGGAGAGAGCGGCTTTTGGGAGTTTCTGGGCTCCTTTCTCTCGCTGTGCGGTCCCAGGGCCCACACCATGGGCGGGGGACTGGCCTTGGTCTGGCAAGCACACGGACTTGGCCTTGTTGTAAACACAGCGGGGTGCTTTGGGACACCCTACGTCATCGGTGGCCCCCAATCTTGTTTTTTATGGGGCTTTTGCCTATTTCCTGAACAAATGTTTGACTGAACTGAGCATGACTCAGGATTCAGTTGTGTGCGAGCCTCTCCATGTGTGCGCTGCGTGCCCGTGGTGGTGCACATGTGTGTGCATGCACGTGTGCTTGCGTGTGCCCCTGTGTGCAGAGAGCATGTGCCCCGTGTGCAGTGTGCGTGTGTGACGCGTGACGACGCCCCTGCCTGTGGATCTTCTGCCTTGAGGTCTGACTGGGCATTTGGGCAGCTTTGCCCCTCATGGCCTTGAGGGCGGCAGGTGGGTGGTGGGGCCTGGAGGTCCTGGGTGGTGGGGGTGGGAGTGGGGGACTGGGTGCGGGGTGAAGCCTGCCTCTTATCCCTTTGCTCTGTTTCTTGATTCCAAGCCTCCATGCGGAGAAGGAAAGGGGGTGAGTCATCTGCTGCGTCCCGGGCCCCAGGTCGGCCTGGCCACTGTCCGGGAAGGGTCTCAGTCCAAGCTGGGTGCTCTGCTGGCCTGGGCTGTGCCCTGTTGCCTGTGCCCTGGGGGTCTGGTGGGCTCCAGAGGGCCAGGGAGTGGGGGTGGGCATTCCAGGGTGGGTGAGGAGGTGAGGCCCTGGGCCTGGGGGTTCTGGGTGGGAGGACAGAGGCGGCCTGGTGAGGCAGAGGCGGTAGCCTACCCGGGGGATGCCCAGCCCGGCACCACCCGCTGTGCGGGACGGTGGGGGGCTGGTCTGTGGCCAGGGGGCCAGGGCTGCAGTGGGGCGCGTGGCCCTGGCTGGCGTTTCTGCTTTCTTCCTGTCCTTGGGGGACCCTGTGCCTGCTGTGAGGGCCCCGCTGCTGTGAGGACTTGCTACAGGGTCAGGTCCTGTGCCACCTGCGCCTTCAGAGTTGGGCGCCTCCTTCCCCAACTTCCCGGCTGCTGGCTCCCCCAAGCTCTTCCCTCATGCTCTGCCGCCCTGTCCCCTTGGAGCCAACTTCCTGGGTGTCCTGGCTGCTGGCTGCAGAGGGCGCTGCACCCATGTGTTACCAAGTCTGGGCCAGGGCAGGCCCAGCGCGTGGTGAGGCCTTAGGGGGCCTTTTGCCTGCTCCTCGCTGCTGTGCAGTCAGGGCCAGGCGGAAGCCAGTGTGCCCTGGCACACGCCTGTCCAGTCCATGTTCCTGACTCCCGCTGTGCCCTGCCACCAGCACCCACGGCCCCCTGGCCTGTGCGCCCAGGCCAGGCCCAGCCTCTGTGGCCCCTTGCCAGCCGGGCCAAGAGCTGTGTCCCTCTGTGCTAAAGCTGCGGCTCTGGCCCGTCGCCGCTTGGGCACTTCGCTGGGCGCTCAGCGGGCCCTGCTTCCCCAGGTGCTCATTGCCCTCCTCTGCGTCTCGGATAAGTCACCTGAGTGTGTCTTTTCTGATTGTTGGGGAGCCACGCCAGCTCCTCAGCTTGTCATTTGTGGAATTCTTGATTCCTTGCTTCTCACGGTTTTTCTCACCCCCAGTGGTCTCTGCCCAGCCCCGCGGCCCTGTCTGGGGTCTGGGCGTGACCTGGGGCCGCCCCGAGTGTTCCGCGCTCTGTCTGTGACCTGGGCCAGGTTTTCTCAGAGCTCCCCTTTCTTCTTGGGTGAAATGAGGGCAACAGGGGAGGCCCCTTCACCTGTTGTGGGGCAAGGAGGGAGGGTGCGGGGCCACTCCCCTAACTCTGGGACACGAGCACCTGCCAGGCGGACACGAGTGACCTGGCTGGCCGTGGAGGTCTGGGGGACCCGCGCTTTGACTCGGACACTGGGGGCGGGAGCACTTGTGACCCTCGGCGTGGGCGCAGCCCCGGGGGTCCATGAGGCTTGGGATTCGGAGCCTGAGCGGTGGGCAAATCCCACGGAGCCCACGTGCCCCCACAGCGCGCCCCTACTCCCCACCAGCACCGCTCTCAGACAAGCGTAGTGAACATCATTTCCAAATCACATCGATATTCAAAACCATTTTATAAAACATTTTTTTAAATGTTTTAAAAAACACTGAATGCTTTAATAGAAACAAGCCAAGCTCTGCCCCCACCCCACCTCTGTCCACGGGGCTCCCGGTGCTTTCTTCCGGCTGGAAGCTCCTCCACGTCCCTCCAGCTGTGGCCTGGGGTGTCTGGTGTCCACACGCTGCACTGGGGCCCTCCTGCTGTGCGCACTCTGGAGCCTGTGCTGCCCGCCCTGCCCTTTGGTGCGGTGGGGGGCCCAGTGTGGGGGATGGGCAGGAGACACAGGTCAGGAGCGAGTGGTCAGCTCTGTCCCGCTGGGTCCTCTCCCTGGGGTCGGTCAGGAGTTTTCTGGAGTGGGGTCCATGGGGTCCCCTGGGCGCTCCCCAGGGTTGGAGAAGCCAAGCTGGAGCAGGGGCGGGTGTGTGAGGGCCGGGTGGGGAGCAGCCTGGGGTCCCTGGCCCGTGTGGCGGCCTCGAAGCTCCAAGGGCAGGTGAGCCGCCCGGCTGGGCGGGGGCCGCTTCCGCGGAGGCCCCGCAGCTGAGACGCTCCTCTGACCCCAGAGAAGCTAGACGAGATCCTGGCGGCTGCCGCGGAGCCCACGCTGAGGCCCGACATCGCCGAGGCGGACTCCAGGGCCGCCACCGTGAAGCCGCGGCCCACCAGCCGGAGGATCACCCCAGCGGAGATCAGTGTGAGCCGCGGGCCGGGCCGGGGCGGGCCGAGTCCTGCGGGCCGCGATCTTCTCCGGGTGAGGGTCTGACTTTGGACTCCTTTCCCCCGTGGCCCTCCTAGAGGTGTGGGGCCGTCCCAGCCCCTGGGGCCCTGGGCAGGGGCTGCTCCACAGGTGGGCCTGGCCCAATGTCTCTTGCCTGTGCCTTCCCGGCCCCCCTCACTGCCTGGGCCTGCGGTGCACTGACCCTGGTCTGGTCCACGCCCGCCCCACCTGGCCAGCGCTCGGGGGCTGTGCATGGGGTGCCTGGTGTCTGGCTCGGGAGGGGGCGGGCGGAGCTGGGTGGAGAATAGCACCCACACCCGGTAACTGCTGTGTCCACCCCACAGTCGCTGTTTGAGCGCCAGGGCCTCCCGGGCCCAGAGAAGCTGCCGGGCTCCCTGCGGAAGGGGATTCCCCGGACCAAGTCTGTAGGTATGGCCGGGCTGGGCTGCATGGGGTGGCGCGCAGGGCTGGAGTCCCCACCTTCAGCCCAGGGCCCGAGTTTCCCGGAGTCCTGCCCTCCTTGGCCACCGCCCAGGCACCTGCCCCACGCGTGGGGTGAGCCTTCTTCCTGCCAGAGAGGCTTTGCTGGCCGAGACCCCTGCAGCTTGCTCTGTCGACTGCTGCTCCCGTGGCTCTCTGGGCCCCGGCCTGCCCTTTCTTACCTGGCGGTGGCCCCACTACTTCTGTCCAGAGCGCCCCCTGCCTCCCAGATGAGGTGTCACTGTCCCTGGGCCTCACCTCCCGGCCTGGCTGGGCCTGAGCCCCCGCAAGTCTGACCTGAGGCCATCCCATGACCAGCCCTGCTGGGCCCTCCGAGGCCCTGCTCTGGCTGTCCACTCCTTGTCCCTGGGCTCCTCCGTCCGCTCCCACCTGCTGGCTCTGTCTGTGCCTCTCATTCTCACCCTCGTGCTCTGCTTCCAGGCAAGCCCCCCACATTGCTGGCCCCCGGCTCCGCCTGTGCACCCCCACCCCCCATGCACTCGGGTCCTGTCCCTCCAGACACACACACACACACACACACACACACACACGCGCGCATGTGCAGCCGGCGTTTGATTTTCAGCTCCTCCAGAGCATTTTCCCCCAGGCCTTGAGAGACTGGTCCACTAGCCCGGCTCTCCAGCCGCGCTGTCCCCACACCATGAAATGTGGGTTGTCCCAAGCTGTGGCCTTGGCCTAACACCTCTGTCCTGCCTCCTAGACTGTGCACACCACGGCACACTGGCAACTGGCCTCCTCTTGCCCAGACGCTCCGGCACCTGTCCCGTCCCGCCTGCCCATCTGCTGCTGCCCACACTTTGGCAGACCCGTGCCATCCCGGGATGGTCTGCTTGCCCCTCACCCAGCTCTGCGTTTGCACCCAGCCCACTTGGTGCCCACAGGGCGCCCGCTGCACCACAGTGGGGCATCTTGTCTAGGCCACTCTGCCCCATCCCGGCTGCCCACCTGGCTGCCCACTGCCTGTGCCTGTCTCTGCTCCCCCAGGACCCCGTGTGGGAGGCCAGCACTGTCTGGTGGGGCTGGTGGTGACGTTTCTGTGTGTGAGGTGTGGCGGTGTGGCCAGCTATACCCAAACCTCCCAGAGGGCTGGGGTGGCGTTTGGGGCATCTGCATGGCCGGCCCTGCAGGCCCTGCTATGCCCACTTGCAGGTGGGGGTGGGAGGTGGGCGGAGGGCACTGGAGCCAGAGGCCCTCCCTTTGCCTGCCCTGGTTCCCTGCGGTGAAGTGTGCAAGCTTCTTGTCCCCATGGCTTGGCCCCGCCCACCCAGCACCCAGGCCGCAGCTCTGGTTCTTCTTGGGGTTCCTGCCCCAGCCCCCCCAGGCCTCCCTCTGCCGAAGGGGGCCTGCCGCAGAGCAGCTGTCCTTGCCCCCCATTTGGCCTCCTGTGGGCTCCACCACCTCGGGTCCCTGAGGGCCAGCCCCAGCCCTCCTGCTCCCCCTGGGACACCTGTCCTCAGTCCCCTGTGACCTGGGTCTGCTGCATCAGCTCTTTTCTGCCCCCCCAATACCCCCCAGTCCAGGACTGACCAGCGCAGGTCCCAAGCTCAGCAGGCCCCTGGACCTGGGCCTCCCACACTCACTCTTTGTGCTCTGGGAGTGAGCTCAGGGCCCTTCACCCCTCATGCCCGGCCTGCTGCGCGCGAGTGTCCTTGGTCCCACCCCATGTCCTGCGGTGTGGCCCAGGCACACTGTTCGGCTGTGGGGCCTCAGGGCCCTGACCCATGGTGTGGGGCATCTCGTGCCTTCGCCCAGGGGCCATGCTTCCTACGAGTGCCGTGTGGGGTGGCCAGTGCTGTGCGTGGACGCATGTCCTGTCAGGAGTGAGTGCTGGGGAGATGCTCCGTGCTGGGAGTTTGCTGCCCAACCGGCCAGGCTCTTGTCCACTCATGTGCGGCTTGTCTCCCCAGAGGGGGCTTGGCTGCTGGAGCTGCCCCCTGTGGCCGTCTCATGTGTGGCCGCCGGGGCCCCCGCCGTGTGGGTGCCGTTGTGACTAAGGCTCTGCAAAGGCCCGGGATGAGCCTGGCAGTACCTGAGTGCCAGGCGGACCCACACCTGGGCGCGGCCTTCCCCGGGTGGGGCTGTGGGCCCAGTGGCCAGCTCGCACGCAGCAGCTCTGCAAGCAGGAGGAAACCCAGGTTCCAGGGGGTAGGGATGTTGGGCAGTCACTGGCAGCCAGAATTGCAGCCTGAGTCTGTGATGAAGCCCATGCACCATGGCTGCAGGGCATCCCGGGGTGGGGCCGGGAGAGCCGCCTCAGCACCGGGCGTCCGGTGGCAGCCCCGCCATGCTTGCACTGGGCACCTAACACCTGCTGCCTGACCCGACACACTTGCGGCCCAGGTGTCTGCAGGATGCTCAGGGGCTCCTGCCAACTTCCCACTAGGCAGCCGAGGGCCCGGGGGCCCCAACAAACCTAGGTGAGACAGGCAGGTGGGTTCCCCCTAGGTCATTGTTGTCCATGAGAACCGGGGCTCAGCGGTGCCCAGACTGGGCCTGGGGTGCACGGCCAGCAGGGAATGAAGCTGAAATATGCCCGGTGTCGGCCTGCAGGATCCTGTGAACCCCCACCCCCCAGGCCAAAGTCCGCTGTGGGGTCGCTGCAGCCCCCCGGCGGTCTCTCCCTGCCCGTCTGCAGGCCGCGGGGGGCCTCTTGGAGGTCTCCATGAGCGCCATGCACTGGGCATTGGCTGCTGCTGCCCCAGCTGCGGGCTGGCGGCCCAGGCTGGGGACTCCCTCCTGCCTCTGGCGGCACCAGGGCCTCCCAGTGACGACTGCTCCCTAGTGCTGGCCTTTCGCAGACCAGGCCGGGCCTTCTCTGGCACGACCCCAGCCGCCCCTGGCTCCACTGCGATTCTGCCCCCTGGGGGGATGGAGGGGCACCTGCCCTTGCCCTCCCGGCGCATCTCCTGGGGTTCTCTCAGCACCTCTGCTGGTGCCACCCGTCTGCACCCCATATCTGAGCTGATGCCACTCCCGAGACTTTGTCAGAGTCGATGGCGTGCAGGAGTGGGGCAACCAGGAGGCCTGATGGGGCGCCCCAGCCTCCCCGTGCCCTAGCTGGCCCCGCCTGCGCTGACTTCTGAGGGGCTCTCCTCTGCCCTTCTCTCCGGGATTGGCATGCCCGGGTGGAGGCAGCAGGGCCTGCCTCTGCGGGGGCCTCCGGGAGGGCATCGCCCCAGCACCGTGGACTCACGGACTCACGGGCCCCTCTGTCCGCAGGGGAGGACGAGAAGCTGGCGTCCCTCCTGGAGGGGCGCTTCCCACGGAGCTCGTCCATGCAGGACACGGTGCGCGAGGGCCGAGGCATCCCGCCCCCGCCGCAGACCGCGCCGCCGCCCCCGCCCGCGCCCGCGCCCTACTACTTCGACTCCGGGCCGCCCCCAGCCTTCTCGCCGCCGCCCCCGCCGGGCCGAGCCTACGACACGGTGCGCTCCAGCTTCAAGCCGGGCCTGGAGGCGCGCCTGGGCGCGGGCCTGTACGACGCGGGCGCGCCCCTGGGCCCGATGCCCTACCCCGAGCGGCAGAAGCGCGCGCGCTCCATGATCATCCTGCAAGACTCGGCGCCCGAGGCGGGCGACGTGCCCCGGCCCCCGCAGGCGGCCACCCCGCCAGAGCGCCCCAAGCGCCGCTCGCGGCCCCCGGGCCCCGACAGCCCCTACGCCAACCTGGGCGCCTTCAGCGCCAGCCTCTTCGCGCCGTCCAAGCCCCAGCGCCGCAAGAGCCCGCTGGTCAAGCAGCTGCAGGTGGAGGACGCGGCCGAGCGCGCGGCCCTGGCGGTGGGCAGCCCCGGCCCGGTGGGCGGCAGCTTCGCCCGCGAGCCCTCCCCGACGCACCGCGGGCCGCGGCCGGGCCTGGACTACGGCCCCGGGGACGGCCCCGGGCTCCCCTTCGGCGGCCCCGGCCCTGCCAAAGACCGGCGGCTGGAGGAGCGGCGCCGCTCCACGGTGTTCCTGTCCGTCGGGGCCGTCGAGGGCAGCGGGCCCAGCGTGGACCTGCCCTCCCTGCAGCCCTCCCGCTCCATCGACGAGCGCCTTCTGGGCCCCGCCGCCACCCCGGCCGCGACCTGCTGCTCCCCTCCCCCGTGTCCGCGCTGAAGCCATTGGTCAGCGGCCCGAGCCTCGGGCCTGCTGGCTCCACCTTCATCCACCCGCTCACCGGCAAGCCCCTGGACCCCAGCTCGCCCCTGGCCCTGGCCCTGGCCGCGCGGGAGCGGGCGCTGGCCTCTCAGGCGCCCTCGCGCTCCCCCACGCCCGTGCACAGCCCGGACGCCGACCGGCCCGGCCCGCTGTTCGTGGACGTGCAGGCCCGGGAGGCGGAGCGCGGGCCCCTGGCCTCCCCCGCCTTCTCCCCGCGGAGCCCGGCCTGGATCCCGGTGCCGGCCCGCAGGGAGCCGGAAAAGGCGCCCCGGGAGGAGCGGAAGTCCCCCGAGGACAAGAAGGCCATGATCCTCAGCGTCCTGGACACGTCCCTGCAGCGGCCGGCCGGCCTCATCGTGGTGCACGCCACCAGCAACGGGCAGGAGCCCGGCGGGCTGGGGGCGGAGGAGCCGCGCGCCGGCACCCCGGAGCTGGCCGCCGCCCCCGCGCCCGCCGCCCTGGCCGCGGAGTCCCTGCCCAGCCCGCGCGCGCCGCCCCCGGGCGCCGCCCCCGCAGACCCGGGGCCCGGCCAGGGCAGCTCGGAGGAGGAGCCCGAGCTGGTGTTCGCCGTGAGCCTGCCGCCCGCCCAGCTGTCCTCCAGCGACGAGGAGACCCGGGAGGAGCTGGCCCGCATCGGGCTGGTGCCGCCGCCCGACGAGTTCGCCAACGGGGGCCTGCTGGCCAGCCCGCTGCCCGGCCCGGGCCCCCCGCCGCCCGCCGCGCCGGGCCCGGCCCCGGGGAAGCCCGGCGGCGAGCTGCCCCCCGCCCCCGAGTCCGCGGCAGACTCGGGCGTGGAGGAGGCCGACACGCGCAGCTCCAGCGACCCCCACCTGGAGACCACCAGCACCGTCTCCACCGTGTCCAGCATGTCCACGCTGAGCTCGGAGGGCGGGGAGCTCACCGACACCCACACCTCCTTCGCCAACGGACACACTTTTCTACTCGAGAAGCCGCCAGTGCCTCCCAAGCCCAAGCTCAGGCCCCCGCTGGGCAAGGGGCCGGTGACCTTCAGGGACCCGCTGCTGAAGCAGGCCTCCGACAGCGAGCTCACGGCCCAGCCGCGCCACGCCGCCCCTGCCGGGCTGGCCGCCGGGCCCGCCCGCCCCCGCTACCTCTTCCAGAGAAGGTCCAAGCTGTGGGGGGACCCGGTGGAGAGCCGGGGGCTCCCCGGGCCGGAGGATGACAAGCCGACTGTGATCAGCGAGCTCAGCTCCCGCCTGCAGCAGCTCAACAAGGACACCCGCTCGCTGGGGGAGGAGCCAGCCGGCGGCCTGGGCAGCCTCCTGGACCCGGCCAAGAAGTCGCCCATCGCGGCAGCTCGGTGAGCAGGGCAGCGGGGAGGGACTGTCCGCGTCCACACCCCGCCCGTGTGCTCCTCCGTGCCCGCCCCAGTCTGCCCCCTGCTGTGTCTGTCCTGGCGAGCCAGGGAGGGGCAGGGCTGGGGTGCTGGGGGCGGGAGGTGGGCGCCATGGCTGCCTCTGCCGGGAAGGCCCGTCTGGGGACTCTGTGCAGCTGCCCGGCCGTGGTCCCCTGCCCGGCAGCCCCCACGGCTTCCTAGGGCTCCCCAAGCTCGCCCCGTGCCGGCTCCTTTCCACTTGACACCTGCCACTGACTTGCTGCCTCCGCCCAGGAGCATTTCTGGCCCTGGCGTCCGGGAGCCCCTGGACACAGGCCTGTGGCGGCCTTCATCGGGCCAGGTCGCTGCCACCTCCACCCACCTCCACCTTCCCATGCCCCCTGCCAGGGTGGGGCTCGAGAGGCATGGTGCACCCCGGAAGGGCGGGACCCCGCCCTGGGGCGCCCCTCGCTGAAGCCCTCCTTCCCAGAGGCTGTGGACCTTCTGGGGCGATTCCTGCTGCGGGCACCACCGCCCTGGCCACCCTGTCCCTTCTCACCGGCTCCCTTCTCCGCAGCGCTCCGGGGCTCCTGGCTCTGCCCTGTGCCACCCGCCTCTTCCTCTGCGGTCCTCGAGACGTGCCTTGGGGGCACGAGTCACAAGGCAGGGAGGGCTGGGGCGAGCCCACAAGGGCTGCTCTGCTCCCTCTTCTTCCAGTTAAGGGTGCAAAATGAGCGGGGACTGGGGCGCTCGGCATGCTCCAGGAACAGACACCTCAAGGGCTGGCCGGGGCCCCTCTCTCGGCCTCGGCCACTATCAGTCTGAAGAAACCTCTTTCCTGGCAGGGCGGGGCCCTGGAGAGCCACGGGGGCTGGGCCCATTGGGATGACAACCCCAGTTTCTGCGGGACCAGCCCCGTCATGCTCCACTGCCCTGCCCTGGGCCCAGTGCAAACCAGCGCCCTCTGAGGTCTAGTGCGGGGCAGGCCTGATAGATGCCGAGCCGACGGAGGTGAAGCTGCCTGGTGCTGTCTTCTGGGAGTGGAGCCCAGGAGGCTGGCTCGGGATGACCCGTGTGGGCAGACTAGCCTTTGGGCCCGTGGCCAGGCCCAGGCGAGCAAGGTCTTGACAGCAGTCTCCTGGCTCCGTGGGCAGGGTCACGCAACCGTCCAGCCGCCCCTTCTCTGAGTGCAGCCTCCTCAGGGGCCCCCACCAGCCTCAGACGTGGCCTGGGAGGGGGCCCCACACCCATCTGTCCTGCAGCCACTGGAGCCTCTTTGCTCCACAGTTGCTGCTTCCTATGGGTTCCCTACTTGCTCCTGAACCACCCACCAGGCCTGGGAGCCGAGGGCCGGCCTGGCCAGGTGCCCTCCCAGGAACCAGGTGGGGTCAGCCGCCAAGCGGACAGCGCAGGGCAGTCCATGGAGGGCCAGACGCCTCTGCCAGCAGTGAGACGCCCTGTCCTGCCCCTCGCTGCCCCCCTGGCAACTTGTATGTCGCCGATGCTGACGCCATGTGGGGCCGGAGGCCCTGGTCCCACCCTCGGTCTGCGGGGTCCCTCGCAGCACGGCACATAGGGTGATGCGCTGGTCACCAGCACCCAGGGCCTTGAGGCCCCTCCTGGCCAGCATGGGGCATCTGCGCAGCCCGCGCCTATCAAGAGCTCCCCGTGAAGGACAGGGGGCCATGCGCCCGCCCCCACATGCCTGCTGTCTGTGGGTGACCGGCACGAGGGCTCTGACGCCCACTGGTCGCCCTGCCATGTGGCCCCTCCACTGCCCCTCCTCCGCCCTCTGAGTTCCCTCCCCTGCCTGTGCTCACCCCCTGGGTCCCACGGCTTGACCGCAGGCCTGGGTGTAGCCCTGGGCTCTGGAGGGGCCACACCGACCCCGGCCTCCTGCTTTTGGGCTGGCAGGTGGCTCAGTGGGGACCGCTGAGACCACCGCCTGGCCAGGCGACACGTCCTCCCCACATGCCCACTGCAGGCGCCCATGACCTTCCGGCAGCAGGCCCGTCCCTGGCTCCTGACGTGGGTGTTCCCTCCGGGCACCACCTTGCCTGGCCTTCTCCTCACTCAGCCAACACCACAAGAACAGAGACGCCCTGCCTTGGGCATGCAGTATGTCCGGCCAGTGTGCTTTGGCCACAGGGAGCTGCCCTGCGCCCTCTGGCCGGCTGTTGTCCTGGCTATGGGCCCGAGCCGGGAAACCTGTGGAGACGCTTCCCTTCCCCAGGGTGGGGGCTGGAGAAGGCCTGCTGTTCCAGGAGGTCAGGGTCTGTGGCCACTGATTCCAGACCATCCACCTCATCTGTGCTGCCAGTTCAGCCTGGTGGGCAGAACATCCCACTCTTTAGAGGCACACACCTGCCTCTGGACCCCACACCTGGCTTCGGGCCCCACACCTGCCTCCGGGGGCCACACCTGCCTCCAGGAGCCCACACCTGCCTCTGGGCCCTACACCTGGCTCCGGGCCACACACCTGCCTCTGGGGGCCACATCTGCCTCCAGGAGCCACACCTGCCTCTGGGTCCCAATCTGCCTCTGGGCCTCACACCATACTTGCCTCTGGGCCCCACACCACACCTGCCTCTGGGCCCCACATCACACCTGCCTCTGGGCCCCACACCATACTTGCCTCTGGGGCCACACCTGCCTCTGGGCCACACACCTGCTTCTGGAGGCCACATCTGCCTCCGGGAGCCACACCTGCCTCTGGGCCCCAATCTGCCTCTGGGCCCCACACCATACTTGCCTCTGGGCCCCACACCACACCTGCCTCTGGGTCTGTCATCTGTTCTGAATTCCATTGTCTTCCTGATTCTGTGGTGGCTCTGGCCCTTGTGGTCTTGGCTGCACAGGAGCCACAGTTCTCTGTGGCCTCGGTCTGTGTTTGTCTGACCCCATGTCTGGTTTCATGGAAAAGCTTAGGCGCAGCAGCTTTGGGAGTTCGTGTGAGCGGCGCCCCCTGCCGTGCTGCACAGCCCAGCACTGCAGGTCACACACCTGCTGGCCCAGCGGCCAGAGGGGGTCACACACCTGCAGGCCCAGCGGCCAGAGGCTCTGTCCCTGCAGGTCCTACGGGCCAGGGACATGCCGAGGGCTCGGGCCCCAGGTTCTACTGGGGGGGGCAGGAGTGATCACCGGTGGGGCTGAGCTTGTGGAGCGACCAGGTGGCCTACAAGCTGGGTGGCATGCGGAGCAAGGTGGCGAGGGGCTGCGGCGAGCTCACACCTGCTCTGTGTGGGGAGCCGCAGCAGCGAGGCTGCCCAGTGCACAGGGTGGCCGAGGCCTGCGTGTGACGCTGGCCGGCCGGGCGACCTGTCCCCATGAGCCCACACGCCTGCCCTTCCTGCCCGCGATGGGCCATGTGGTCACTGCTCCTGGCGGCTGCCGCGAGCTGGTGGGCGTTACAGTGAGGGGAGCGGTGCTGAGTGGGACCCCCAGATCCAGGGTGTCGGGAAGGGAGAGGTGTCTGGGCTGATGTAGAGCTCAGTGTGGGGGAGAGGGTGGGAGCGCCCGGCCAGCTGGGCCTTCCTCAGCCTTTGCCCCTGTGGAGGGGGGATGGGTGATGGGGCCCCGAGACCCTGCAGACTAAGAGGGGGACTAGGAACCCCTCTAGGAAAGAAGCCTCGAAGGGAGAGGGCAGATAGGTGAGGGCTCGAGATGCCCCATCTCGGGAGACCCTGGGGTTGGTGTCCCAGGAGTGGGGCAGGGCGCCCTGCTGAGCCTGGGGCTGCCAAGGTGACAGCGGAAGAGGTGCCTGGGAAGGAGGTGGGAGCCAGGCCTGGGGACCGTGGGTGGGGCTTGACGGTCAGCTGTGCTCAGGCGGGGGAGATGGTGAGAGGGCTGAGGGCAGAGGAAGGAGGGGAGGAGCGGGGTCTGGGCCACAGCTGCACCCGGGCTGGCAGGACGAGGCCTGTGGGGCTCCCGCCACCTGCAGGACTCAGGAGACTGGCCGGCCTCCCCACTCCCAGCCCAGTGCAGCGTGGCCCTCGGCCCTTGCTCCTGCGCCCAGCACCCACCCTCCCCACCGCCCCCCATCCCACTGCCCTCTCCACCGCCCCCCGCCCACTGCCCTCTCCACTGCGCACCCCCGTCCCGCTGCTCTCTCCACTGCGCCTCTGCCACCCGCCCTCTCCACCACACCCCAGCACCCCTGCCCTCCCGCCCCCTCATCCTCAGCCTTCGGGTATGGCTGAGGGCGCCCCTCCGCCATGTGCTCTGTCCAGCCCAGACTCCGGGCAGCCTGACTTAACCCTTGTGGTGGGCCATCCGGGTCCCCACCTAAGGCAGGGGTCCCCACAAGGTCTGGTGAGGGCCCGGGTGGGGGCTGCCTGTGCTGACCCCAGTCCCACAGGCTCTGTCCCCTCAGTCGCTCCCCTGGCACTGTCCCCCCCCCACCCCATGCCCCTGCCCCTTGCTCTCCCTGCAGCCCGGGGTGCCTGGAGCAGGTGCTGTGGGGGCAGGAGGCTCTTCTGGTGCCTGAGGCCTGTTTCTGCGCCCCCCAGGGGTTCCCGACCCCTTTACCCCAGGGTGGTGGCGGCCGGCCTGCCTGGCCAGAGGGCCCACTCCAGGACGTGGCAGGGAGGAGGGTTAGGGTGGAGCCAGGGGCCCAGTGGGGAGCGGAGCTGGGTCTCAGGGTAGGGGCCCGGTGGCAGGTAGAGGCGGAAGGGGAGGAGGGGTGCGGAGGGCTGGGCTTGGGGTGGCACCATCAGTGCAGCACAAAAGGGGTGAGAAAAGCAGGGGAGGGGCCTCAGCCCTGCCGTGGTGGAGGGGCTGGGAGAGGGAGGGGCTGGCAGCAGGGGTGGCGCGGTGCCCACAGAGGGGGCACTGCTGGGGCACAGGGGTCTGCGGGCATCGCCCATTCCTGGGGACGCCTGTGGGGGGCACAGCGGGGTCTGCATGTCGTTCGCTGGAGAACAGGCCCGCCTGGCCCGCACCCCGCTCCTTCCCCGGGGCACCGTGCCCAGCTCCGGCTCCGTGGCTCTGCTTGTGTGGCCGCTGCCAGGCCTGCCTGGGGACCGCTAACCCGCTCTCCCGCTCTCCCCGCCCTGCACGCGGCTGCTCTGTCTCCTGTGCGTCCCCAGCGCCGTCCCCGGCCTCTGCGCCTCTGCCGGTCTCTGCTCTGCTTGGCTTTGTGGGACGTCAGTGCCATGGACAGCCCCGCCCAGGCCTGGCCACGCGGTAGGGGCCGGGGAAGGGTTTCCTGGGCGGGGTCCTCGGGCAGGGCCCGCTGGGAGGGCTGGGAGCCGCGGCCCCGCTGGGTGACGCTGGGGGGCCGCCTGCGTCTGCACTAGGTGCTGGGCCCGTCTTGGTGGCTGCTGCATGTCTGCCACGCGGCAGGCACCCCGCTGTGCCCGCTGTCCCGCCGGCCCGGGGGCATGCGCTATGCTGTGTCTGCCTCACACCGCCATCTGTCCAGTCCAGCTGCGCCAGCCGTTGTGGAGACTCGGCTGCCCGCGCCGGCCCAGGCGTGAGGGACCGTCTGGGTCTCACCCTCAGGGCGTGGTCCAGGCTGGCAGGGACGCAGCAGCAGCCCTTGGGAAGCTCAGGGAGTGGTGGGGCCCTGCCAGCCCCCTCCTGCTCCAGTCAGTCTAGGGGTGCCCCCGGCAGGACGCTGGCTCTGACCCTTGGGCCCAAACAAAACAGCCTGAACAACCCTTTTTCTTCCGGCCCTAAGGCTACCCCCTCCCAGCCCAGCCCCACCCCAGGGAGCCCCCCGCCGTGCCCACCCCACCTCTCCTGGTGCCCCTCACCTGGCCTTGACCCCTCTCCCTCCGCAGGCTCTTCAGCAGCCTCGGTGAGCTGAGCACCATCTCAGCGCAGCGCAGCCCCGGGGCCCGGGCGGCGGGGCCTCCTACCCGGTGCGGCCTGGGGGCCGCTACCCAGTGGCGCGGCGCGCCCCGAGCCCGGTGAAGCCCGCGTCGCTGGAGCGGGTGGAGGGGCTGGGGGCGGGCGCGGGGGGCGTGGGGCGGCCCTTTGGCCTCACCCCGCCCACCATCCTCAAGTCGTCCAGCCTCTCCATCCCGCACGAACCCAAGGAGGTGCGCTTCGTGGTGCGCAGCGTGAGCGCGCGCAGCCGCTCGCCCTCGCCGTCGCCGCTGCCCTCGCCCGCGCCGGGCCCGGGCCCCGGGTCCCCCGCGCCGCGCCGCCCCTTCCAGCAAAAGCCGCTGCAGCTCTGGAGCAAGTTCGACGTGGGCGACTGGCTGGAGAGCATCCACTTGGGGGAGCACCGCGACCGCTTCGAGGACCACGAGATCGAGGGCGCGCACCTGCCCGCGCTCACCAAGGACGACTTCGTGGAGCTGGGCGTCACGCGCGTGGGCCACCGCATGAACATCGAGCGCGCGCTCCGGCAGCTGGACGGCAGCTGACCCCCGCGCCGCCCCGCGCCCTGCGGGCAGGGCCCGCCCCTCCCGGCCGCCGGCTCGGCCCCCCTCCCCCGCGGCGCCGGGCCAGGAATGTTGCATGAATCGTCCTGTTTGCTGTTGCTCGGAGACTTGCCCTGTACATTGCTTAGTGCCCTCCGGCGGCCCGGCCGCCCCGGCCAGGAGGGGCGCGGGCCAGGGAGGCTGGGCGGGAGCGGGTCGGGGTGGGCGTTCCGGCCTGACCACCCCCCGCGCCGCTCCTGATGGCTACTCTCCCAGAGGGGGGACCTAGTCCAGCATGCGAGGTCAGGACACACCTGTTGACTCGGGGGAAGGGGGGAGACACTGGGGTTCTTGGTCGGGGGCCAAGGAGCCCCCTGTTTTGCATATTTTAATCCACTCTATATTTGGAACAAGAAAAGGAACAAATATCTCTGTCCTTAATAGCTTCCCTCCCTCCCCTCCCGCACCCACCGTCCGCTGCGGCTGCCCAGTCTTCCATCTCTGGCCCCTCACTGCCACTGCCACCCCAAACGGGGCGGGGGACGCTCCAGCTGGTCTGGGGCTGGCCAGGGTCCCAGTAGCCCGCCCTGGGGCCCTGGCTCGGCCCCCTCCTCTTGCTGAGCTGTCGTGTGCCCCACCAACCTTCAGGTGCTGCGTGGAGGGGGGTGGCAGAGTCCTGCTGGCACCGGCAAGGCCAGGTGGCCCCGGGGACTGTCGCTGAGGGGGCAGGGCCTGGCGCCTGCCCCGGCCATCTCCCCACGGGCGAGGGCACGGTCTCCTGCCTACAGCAGAGAAGCCGCCTGGCCCGGCCGCGCCCGCCCGCCTGTGCACCTGTGCGCCACGCGGCTGCCAGGTATGCCCGAGCGCGTGGGTGCCGCCTGCCCGGCCGGACGCAGGGCGCACGTGTGGGTCGCGCTTGCCAGAGCACTCGTGTCCACTTCCAAAGAAAGCCGGGGCCAGCCCGCACCCGGGCCGCTGTGGCCGCTGCCCTTCCAGCCTCCCAGCCGTGGGCCTCCCTGCTAGGTCCTGCTGCCTGGGGAGCCCCGGCGCCCTGGGAGGCAGTGCCCCCCAGGGGCTTCTGAGCGGGTCAGGAGGGGCCCCTCGAGGCAGGCCACTGCGAGCCCTGGGAGGGGCCGAGACCCCAGAGGGCGCCCCGGCCCCCTTACTGTGACTCCCCACACTCAGCGATGACCTGTGGGGTGGGGGCCCTGGGGCGTTTTTAACCCTCTGGTTTGGAGTCTGGACTAAGCTCCATCCACGTCACTCACAAGTTTCTGTTTATATTTCTAGCTTTTTTTAATAAAAAAAAAAACCAGAAAACAAGTTTCACAGCCCAGGGGCCGGCACGGCCTGTGCCGCCCCCCCCTCCGCCCGCCCGGCAGTTGGGGACCGGCCGGAGCAGGTCGCGCAGCCCCCGCCGCAGACTGCCACTCGCACACGCGGTCTCACCTCCACCTGTGGGTTTTTGGTTCCGTTCAATTTGGGTTTTTAACTTTACAGGGTCAGTTCCGCTTCACCCCTCCTTTTGTATGGAGCGCCACCGGGGATTTCACCCCGCTCCAGGCCTGAGGCCTCCTGGCCCTGACGTTGTGATACACCCCACAGAGATCTATGTTTCTTATATTATTATTATTGATAATAATTATAATATTATGTAATAAATTTATAAGAAATGAAACTGCTGCTCAGATCTCTGCTTGGCCCGGCGCGGGGCCTGCCCTCCACCAGGCCCAGGGGCTCCTGGGGGCCCAGTGCTGGTGCCGACTGGGCCCTGGGGCTGCTAAATGTGAGGGCCGAGCCGAGCCCAGGCGCCCTTCATGTGGCAGCTGGCGGCCAGGACGTAGCTCTTGCAGCCGAAAGCACATCTTTGGCAGGGCGTAGGGGGGTGGGGCGGGGGAGTTGGACACTAAGGGGAGAAGAGTCTGGTGGGACCTCCTGAGGTGCCCGGAGTCCTGACACCTCCCGGCAGGCCAGGGGAGGCAAGCCCGACCCACAGCAGCAGTGCACGGCCTCTCGGCCGTGGCCCAGCGGAGCCCGCTGGTCCCCAGGGGACCAAAGTGCTGCCTGAGGAAGGAACAGAGCTCGCCGCTCTCAGCAAGGGCCTCCCGCCTCTCCTCCTGGCTGGGGTCTGGCCCCCGGCTCCCAGGCAGGGGAGACCCTGTGGAGTGGGCTGTGTGGGTTCAGGTCTGGACGCGCTGGAGCAAATGAGGGTCCCCACCCGAGGGAGGCCGTCACGTGCCTGCTGGGGAGCAGGCCTGCCGGTTGCCAGAGCGGGGCAGCAGGGCCTCGGCCCTTGCAGAGAAGAAGGGACCCCGAGGACACGGCAGCAGGGACGGCGGGCCCTGACCCTGGGCGGGCACACCGGCGCTCCGTGCACTCCAATGGGAGGCAGATTTCACGGCCTGCGGGATTGGACACGAAGGCTTCCGACATCCCAGCAGAGAGAAGGCTGCTGGACTCGTGGCTGAGTGTCCGCCCTCCGGGGGCCTGTGAGGGCCGGCTGGGGGTCTGCCGGGGTACAGACGCCCTGGACAGGGCCTCGGGAGCACAAGTTGACTCGAGGAGAGGCCTCAAGGCGTCCAGTCCTGGGACCAGACGGGCCCTGCACTCAGGGAGGAGACGGCTTGCGCGGCCAGGCTGGTGAGGCCTCCGGGTGTGGCGTGGGCAAGTTCAGAGAGATGGGAATGCTGGCATGGGGCGGGGGGTGTCAAGATTGCCACCTGGGGCTGAGAACATGCAGGTAGGCCCTGGAGACCCTGGCTTGGCCTGGCCCTTGGCACAGAGGGATGGGTGGGAGGCGGCCTTCCCTGGTGTCCAGGGTCGGGGCGTCAGGGCCGGGGCCTTGACGCCTGGTGGTGAGTCCCAGGACCCCTGACTCTCGAGGACAGGGGGCAAGACCCTGCTGCCCGCAGGTCCAGAGTGGAGATGGACACTCAGCGGTGGACAGGAAGGCGGACTTTTTCAGCCACGGGCACTCAAAGTGGTCCTTTGAAAAGCACAGTTGGGAAGGGGCGGATGCTGCCCCTACAGCCCGAGGGCCCCTGGGCCCGGCCCCCGACTGCTGACCTGCACCTGCCCACAAGGGGCAGGCCCAGACCCCGGAGGGATGGGGTGGCTCCGGGCAGGGATGGGGTCACTTCTCGAGAGCCAGTGGGGGCTCCTGCCGCTGGCTGCAAGGGGGGGTGGGCGGAGCCTGCTGATTGGCCGGGGCTCTGTGAGGTCACTGGGCTCCGGGCCAGGCTGGCAGCAGTCGGGCAGAGATGCTGCCAACTGCCATCCTGCTGGTCTTGGCAGCGTCTGCGGCCGCCAAAGATAACAACACGTGTGAGTAAGTGCGGGGTCCGCCAGGCACGAGGGGCTGTCTTCTGGATGCAGGCCCTGCCCAGACTGCCTGTGCCCAGGGTGGGGCCCAGCGGACCGCGCTGCCTCAGGGCCCCGACTTCATTGTTGCTCCAGACCCTGGGCTCGGACACCAAAGCCCGTGGCCTGTGCCCCTCCCTGCCAGGCCTGGCCCCTGAGCTGGGACTCAGGAGTCACTGCTCTGAACTCCAGACCCTGAGCCCCCCAGACTGTGCTTGACCCTGGGGCGCCTCCCACCCGGCCTACTGTGTCCACCGTGGCCACTGCTCCCTGTCCCGCCCAGCCCTAAGCCCCAGGACCCTGCTCTCCCCCACTCTCCTCCCCGCACAGCCCTGAGGATCTCGGGACCTGCCCCCTTTGGCCAGAGGCCCCTGTACTGCGAGGGCCTTTGGGTCTATCCTGGCCCCGCTCCATGACTGCACCTGAGGCCGCGTCCCTCCCAGCGCCCGTGTGCCCGGCAGGGTCGAGCAGTGCCCTTTCTCTCTCCAGTGGCCCCTGCGGATTCCGGAACCTGCAAGGGGGAACCCGCACTGTGGGAGGGCAGGACGCGCACCTGGGGGCCTGGCCCTGGATGGTCAGCCTGCAGGTCTACACCTACCACAGCAACCGGAGGTACCATGTCTGTGGGGGCACCTTGCTGAATGCCCACTGGGTGCTCACGGCCGCTCACTGCTTCGCTAAGAAAAAGTACGTGGGGTCCAGGGGGCGGTGTCCAGGGGGTGGGCAGCGCCTGTGCGAGCCTGACCCGCCCATCCTGCAGAAACGTGTACGACTGGAGGCTGGTGTTCGGGGCCAGGGAGGTGGTGTACGGGAGCAGCACGCCCGTGAAGCCGCCCCAGCAGGAGCGGTACGTGGAGAAGATAGTGCTGCATGAGCGCTACCTCCCCAGCCTCGAGGCCAATGACATCGCGCTGCTGAAGGTCACACCCCCCATCTCCTGCGGACGCTTCATCGGCCAGGGCTGCCTGCCCCAGTTCCGGGCAGGCCCGCCCCGAGTCCCCCAGACCTGCTGGGTGGCCGGCTGGGGCTTCATAAGGGAGAACAGTGAGTGCCGGGGCCCCGGGCAGGCGGTGGGTCCAGCGCGGCCTTGGCCCCAGGGGAAGGCGGGGGAGGGCCGGGAGTCAGGGTTCTGGTGGCACTGGATGCCGGGCCTGCAGGTGCTGTTCCCTGGTGTGGGCCGCACCCTGAAACCCTGCTGGGAAAAGAGCCTTAGGTGGGTCCAGAGGCCGTGGCTGCCCCCTTCGCTGGGCCTCAGTGCCCCTCGCGGCCGAAAGGGCGGAACACCTGGTACCCCGGCCTGAGCGTTCCCGGCTGCTGAGCACAGGCCCTGCGCCGGTCCGGCCTGTCCGTGCGGCCTCAAGCGTCCTTGGAGGCCGGTGCAGGCCCAGGGACAGCAGTGGGCAAGGCTGAGGACCAGGCCTCTGGCGTGAGTGTGGGGGAGGCCATCACACGGCCGTGAACTCAGCCCTGAAGCGCCTGTTTTGAGATAATGGGAAGTTGTGTGTCCTAATTCAAGGCGGTCCAGTCACGTGGGGCTTCAAACAGCCCTTTTGGTAATAACAGATGATTTCGTGGTTCTTCCCTTAACCCTCCCTCCCCTCTCCCCAAGGTTCAGTTCAGTCCCCGGTGGGCCTCGGCCCCTCAGGGGTCTCCCCTGCACACCCCCCTGGCCTGCGGCTGCCTGGCCCTGCTGCCCACCAGCCACTGCGGATCTCTCCCCTCAGCCACTCGCCACCTCCCACCTTTACTCAGGCGGGGTCTGGGCTCTGGGTCCTCCTGGGGTGCCTGCGAGGGGCCAGGCCTGCGGGGCCCCCTAGCAGTGACTGATGAACCCCAGGGCAAAGCCCTTTGCTGCCATGGGATGCCGGGCCCTGATGGCCTGTCTTGAGGCTCCCAGCTCTGGCATGGCTGGAAAGCTGTTCTAGTGCCCAGCCACTGCCTGGGCCTTGTGGGTGCCTGCGAGGCTGCCCGAACCGGGCCCTGGCGGCAGCTCAGGCACTGGGGGCGCGGGGGCCAGGCAAGCTGGGGCGGGCAGTGCTGGCCTCTGCCTGCTGCTCCTTGATGGGGATGCACCGGCCGCTGGCTGAAGTGGGCCTCCCCCGCGGTTCAGGCAGCGCCAGGCTGCAGAGGCAGCGCTGACCCACCCCAGGCCTGGCAGAGCCCGGTGGGGATGGAGCCGACAGTGGGACGGAGGTGGGTCCTGCACTGAGAGGCTCTGCCTCTCTGACCTGGCCGAGGGCGGTGAGAGGTGCTGCTGAGGGCACCTGAGACCCCGGTGGGCTTGGCAGGCCTCATGGCTGGCCACAGCCGGCTCCCAGGACCCTCACAGCCACTGGGGCCCGCCCTCATCCAGCTGCTCGAGTTAGCGGGCACCCCACCCTGGCCCGTCTGGTCTGTTTCTGCTCTGACCCCACGTCTGGGCTTGAAAGGAGCATTTCAGGGCAGGGGGAGTGTGGGCAGCAGGGCACCACCCAGACCGTGGTCACTGCCACTGACCACCCAGTTGCCCGCTGTAGGCCGCAGGGTGTCACCCGTGCTACAGGAGGCACGAGTGGACCTCATTGACCTGGACCTGTGCAACTCGACCCAGTGGTACAATGGGCGCATCCGTGCAACCAACGTGTGTGCCGGGTACCCTGAGGGCAAGGTGGACACCTGCCAGGTATGTCCCCCCGGGCACCTGGCCGTGATGCCCCTGGGCCCTGCCCTGTCCAGGCCCTGCGAGGCTGCCCGAACCGGGCCCTGGCGGCAGCTCGGCCTGCCCTGTCCCCCAGCCGTCCCCAGCACTTCAGTCACAGCAAGGATGGGAGTGACCAGCTGCCCCGACAGCCAGCCAGTGGCCCTCCCTGACAGGCGTCATCACGCCCCCAAACAGCCCTTGAGGGGTGCAGAGCCAAACCCACAGGATGTGGCCGGCTGGTCCCCACATTACCCAGAGCCCCCTTCACCACACCCACCCCCAGCCAGGATGCTGCTCCGGCATCAGCCCCCGCAGCGCAGGGACACGGAGGGAGCCGGCCAGTGCGGCTGGGACCATGGTCAGGCAGTGACAGTGTCCTCCTGGGCAGGGGGACAGCGGCGGGCCGCTCATGTGTGAAGACAAGGCGGAGAATACCTTTGTGGTCGTGGGGGTCACCAGCTGGGGGGTAGGCTGCGCCCGCGCCAAGCGCCCCGGGGTCTACACATCCACCTGGGCCTACCTGAACTGGATCGCCTCCAAGATCGGGTCCAGCACGCTGCACAAGTCTCAGCTGGCCAGCGCGGCCCGCCCCACTGCAGCCCCGGCCAGGCCCACCTCTGCTCACCCTCAGCACTCCCCCTGGTACTTCCAGCACCCCAATCGGCCTGCTCGCCCGTCTGCATCAGCGCTCCGGCCCTCTGTGCCCCACCCACCCCCACCCCCACCCCCACCCCCACATGCACGGCCGCCCCCGCCCCCGCCCCCGCCCCCACCCCCGCCCCCACCCCCGCCCCCACCCACCATGAGGCCCCCCCAAGCACTGTCCTTCGCAAAGCGGCTGCAGCAGCTAATAGAGGCTCTGAAGGGGAAGACCTTCTCCAGTGCCAAAAGCAGCTATGAGGTGGACACCACAGATATCCCAGAGCTGACTGCCCCCGCCTGACCTGACCCTTCTCGTAGACCCAGTGGCCCTGCATTCCTGAGGGAAAAGAGATGAAATATAAATATAAATATATAGATATATATACACACGCCGAGAGGCACGTCTGGACTCCTCCCTGCCCTCCCCAACGGAGCCCAAGCCTTGCCCTGGGAGGCCAACGAGCGTCAGCTGCCGTCCTGACCCGGGGAGGGCTGGGCGCAGGCCCGCACGCCCTTCACACGGGTCTGCGTATTCAGTGGGGTCGGTGGATGGGGGGGTTCTGGAAGCAGCTCTGGGCAGTGAGCTGCTGGGGCTGGGAGGACCGGTGGGCCGAGCCCTGAGGTGTGAGGGCGTCTCCAGGTCTCCTAGAGGCCCTGCGGGAGCCTGGCTTCCCCCAAGCACAGAGGACAGGGGCTGCAAGCCACCAGGGCCCAGCACGAGACGCTTGGAGGTTTTGCTTCTGGCTCTGGCTCTGGCCCGGCTTGTGCTCACGCCCATTACTGGGTGTGTGGTTAAACTGTATCAGTTACTGGATTCAAGCAAATTAGGAAATTCATTATTCACCAAAGCTCTCCAGGAACAGCGACGGAGCGTGCATTGTGGACGCCAAATGCCTCTCACCCTTTGGGAGTGTCTGAGATCCTCACTGTAAGGTACAGAAGCCAACGGAGCCACGGAAATGGCTGCATGTGGGTGGCACGTGCGTGGGGGTGGGCTGTGGGGCTGTAATGCTGTCCCAGGGCTGGCAGAAGGGGCAGCCACGGACACAGGAGAAGCGGGGCCTGCCAGGCGCGCTCGGGCCTGCAGAGCGGGGCAGCTGCCCGGCTCACCCGCCCCACACCGCCAGGCTTCTCAGCCGGAATTGCTCACATGCTGGCAGTCCTGGTGGGTGTGGGTGGATTGCCTATTCCTGTTGTGGTAACTGAAACTCAGACTTGACTGGATTAATCCTTCACTGTGGGATTAAACGTGCAAGTCCCAGTAAGGAAACGGCCTGGCTCCCAGCTGGCAGCTGCTATGGCAAGCACCCACCCTCACCTCTGGTCTCATAACTGCCGCGGTGGCAGGTGCAAGATGGCGCTGCGTGCTGGCTGCACAAACACACAGCCGTTAGCAAAGGCAGGAACGTTGGGGAGGAGGTCTGGGGGAGAAAGCCTCAGGAGGACACGGGCAGAGCAGGGAGGACAGGCACAGGAGGACCTGCACGTATTTTTAGACTAAGACTTTAGGTTTCCTTGTTAAAATGAACACATACCATTTAATTTATAAATTGTTTCTGAAGGAACAGAAAATCTTGTTTTCCCTCTAAGAAAACTATTTAAGAACCAATTAAACATGAAATAGAAAATTATTTAATTTTTTAAGTGCAGTTATGTTCCTGAGCAAATCAAACTGCTATAGTTGTGTATGCAATTTAACAGTACTTTAAAGAGTGCTTGTAGTGCTTACAGTGTTTTAGCTAAAAATGTATACCATATACATTTTTCCTCCAGCTAATTATACGATTTGATCACTTGAATCTTTATATCAGCAGAAAACTGAGAGTGGATGCGTATTAGGAAGTTAAGGCTACAGATGTCTCAGGGTCTCTAACATAGTACCCCACATCACTGTTCACCTTTGCAACAGATTTGGCAGGGGTCCTGGGGGGAGAGAATAGAAGATATTTTTAAAGATGACGACTCATATAAATCATTTTTCTTATTTTACATACAGTAATAACTATAATAATATTTACAGAGTAAATCTAGGAAACTGTAACAGAAAATTAGCTAAATCATGTTGGAGAAGTGGGGGAACCTGGATAAATTCAGTTGGATTGTGTTTTACTTTTTGGCATATGAATTTTATGCAAACACAGCAATTTATGGTGTTTTCATTTCTCCTTTATAAAAACATTAAAATTCTATGCCTCCATTCTCTGTGACACAAATGTAAAAACAAACAGGCAAAGTATAGGGACAGACTTGCGTTTGTTTTGTTTGAGTAGCTTGCTCCTAATCATGTCCTCCTCAACTGTATGAAAGTCTTGATCTATTATGTTATTCTCAACATTTTGTCAAATAATCGGTGCTTTTGTGGCCACATGTGAAAAATACATTATTTAAGTAAGGTATTATATTAACACCATTTTGATTAGCCTAAATGTTTTCAGGCATTGAGATAAATCTTATGTGAAAAAAGTATGATGCCCACAGAAAATTCCTAGTAAAGGACAGCAGTAAACCCACCTTATTGATCACTTTGAGTATAAATGAATTACTCTCTAACTAAAGGCAGAGATTAGCAGAAGGAATTAAAGACATGATCCCAGCAGATGCTGTCTGGAAGAGATTCGGGGCCAATGATACAGGCTTAAAGAAAAATGATGGAAAAGATACCCAAAACACAGTAATCAAGAGATGATATGGTTATACTAATATCAGACAAAATAGGCTCTAAGTCAAAAACCGCTGTAAGAAACAAATGAATCGATAACAGGCAACTCAAGAGTGTGATTAGGCATAGACACAACCTATGAAGCTGTCTGAAGCCTGTGCACCACGAGTTCGATCCCCGGCTGGCTAGGGAGCAACCCACATGGCGCAGCGGACCTCTCCTGGCTCGCCCGCAGCTTCCCTCAGCAGTGTACTTCGGTTGATCCGCCTGTTCTGTACCCCACTCTGTCTCTGGTGAATCCTGTCACCCCCCCCCCACACACACACCTCTGGACTGTGCCCCAGCTCGTGTATGCATAAATAAATAAATCTTATACAAAACAAAACATGTCGACATACATGAGCCACAAAGGCACATGCACCAAAGAACAAACCTTAGAATATTTGAAGCAATTGCTGGCATGATTGAAGGGAGAAAGAAGAAGTGCTGTGATGTTATTTGGAGACTTTAATACTTTACTTTCAAAATAGGATGTCTGGTGGAGATGAGTGGGTCGTGCAGGCCTCGGACAATACACTCGGCAGATGGACACAGACGGGGCACCCAGCAGCAGCAGCAGAAGTGTTCTCAAACATTTATGGAACATTCCTTAGGAGAGATTATGTTCCAGGCCACAGACAATTCTCAGTCAATTTAAAAAGACACACAAAGTGTCTTCTCTGACCACAATGGGCGAAGCCAGAAATCGATTAACAAAGGAGAATTGGGAAATTCACAAATATGTGGAAATTATGTGGAAATTCTCTTAAAAAAACCAATGTATCAAATAACCACAAAGGAAATTGTAACATACCCAGAGATGAATTTAAGATGAAGGCACAATATACCAAAACCTACAGGATGCAGCAGGGCTCAGAGGAAGATTTACAGTAATGAATGCCTATACATTGCAAAGAACTAGATAAAAGTAACCTAAACCAGTTAGCATAACAAAGGGGTAACAGTAGGAACAAATGAAACAGAGACTAGAAAAGCAATGGAACTAATTCATCCAAAGTTAATTTCAGAGCACAGCCGCAAAATTTGCAAACCCTTAACTATAATAATCAAAAAAAGAAGATGCAAACAATTAAAATAAAAAGACGGGCATTGGGACAACACTGCTGACTACAGAAGGCTACAGGAAGCGCCTGCCCCAGTGTGTCACCTACAAGAAACAGACCTAGAAGACACCAATCACCAAAAGAGATTCAAGAAGAAATAGAAGAGTGTGGAAGTCTGAACAGACGTACAAAATGCAGACTGAATCAGTAAAAAAATTAATTGACAAGCCAAGAAGAAAAAGGCAGGACAAGACGACTTCACTGCTGGATTTTACCAAACATTTAAAGAATTACAGGCCCCCTCCCCCGCCAATCTACAACAGCAGCACAGGAGAACACACCCTAACTCCTTCCTTGGGCAGCGCACCTTCACAAAGCCACATCACAGATTATATCACAACAGAAACCTGTGAAAGTTGGAAAAAAATTATCAACAAACATCCCTTATGAATGTAGATGCAAAAACTCAAACAAAATACTAATATAGTCAGCAACGTATTAAATGGACTATAAATCCATTTTATGTAAGTGGGATTTAAAAAAAATTTATTTTTATTTATTTATGCATACAAGAGCTGGGATGCAGGCCAAAGGTGTGGGGGTGAGAGGACTCCCCAGAGACAGAGTGGGGAGCAGAACAGGCAGATCCACTGAGACACACTGCTGAGGGGAGTAGCAGGGAGACAAGAGGGGTCTGCTGCACCCTGTGGGTCACTCCTTGGCTGGGGTCGCACTCAGGCCACAGTGGCTGGCGAGAGCTTGAGAACCCTGAGTAACCCCTGAGCCCCCAGGGAGCCCCGACTAGGTTTTTCTTGAAGGCGTGGGCAGCGGTGAGCGTGAGCGGCTGCGGGGGGCACTGGAGGCGGCCCCTCGGCAGGTGGACAGTCCTCCGCGGGCCTGCAGCTGCGCGCTGTGGCCCCAAACACCGCTGAGCCTGCGCTGGTGAGCGCCTTGGCCAGGTGATGGAGGACCAGGTGAGGTCTCAGGGCGAGGCCGGAGCCCAGACTCCCCAGGGACGAGCCTAGAGACAGAGCCGGCAGAGGGGGCACGGGGAGAAACTGCTGAAAGAATAATGGGGCTTTCCTCCCAAGGGACAGAAATAAACACTTGGGGCCTGGATGGGCGTGCTGTCATGCGGGCAGCGGCTAGCTGTCGGGCAGCAGCATGGTCTCCTCAGATGGTGGTTACATCCATCTCAGTGGAGCGGTCCGCGAGCGCCTTGGGGGCACGGTGCTGCTGGGCAGAAGTGATCAGGGCGAGCCTCTGAACTGAGACTGCAGCGGCTTCAGGGGAAAGGCAACTGCTCTGGATGCACCGCCGACTCCATCCCTCAGACCCCCCCTTCGCCCCACGCAGCGCCTTCAGCAAGCGGGTTGTGGGGCGCAGGGACCCTCAGGGTGGCCCCACAGCCAGGGTGGGCCCCACAGCCCTTTGCTCAGTGAAGTCCAGACCCAGGAGGCAGGCGCAGGCCCGCGTGGGCGCGAGGCAGCCTCTCCTGGAAAGGAAGCTGTCCCGGGAGGGGCCGGCCGGGCGCCCGCTGGTCCTAGGAATTCGGGGCACTGAGGAGACGCCTCTCAGCCCAGCTCCGGGACCCGTGGTGGGGACCCGGGGACCCGCAGGGGCGCAGGCACCTGCCGGAAGCCCCGGGGCAGCAGGTGGGCGCGGGCCGGGCTGGAGGTCAGCTCTGCGGAAACTGCGCCGAAACTTACTTTATTCAAGAGACACACACAGCGCGTCTGGTGCTCGCCGCCCGCGGCTGCCGCCAGGGTCACCTGGGCGGGGGGGCGGGCGGGGGCCGGGGTCACGGGCCGGGGGGCGCCGCTGGCAGAGGGGGGGTGCCAGGCCCTGCCCGGGGGCACCTGGGCTCGTGCTGTCCTGCGGCGCCGCATCTGGGGTGGCATCAGCCTCCTGCTCCAGGTCGAAGTTCTGGAAAAGGCGGCAGAGGGTGAGGGTGAGAGGGGGTGAGGGTGAGAGGGTGAGGGTGAGAGCATGAGAGGGTGAGAGGGTGAGAGGGGGTGAGGGTGAGAGTGAGGGTGAGAGGGTGAGGGTGAGAGCATGAGAGGGTGAGAGGGTGAGAGGGTGAGGGTGAGAGGGTGAGGGTGTGAGGGTAAGAGGGTGAGGGTGAGAGGGTGAGAGTGAGAGGGTGAGGGTGAGGGTGAGGGTGAGAGGGTGAGAGGGTGAGGGTGAGAGGGTGAGAGGGTGAGAGGGTGAGGGTGAGGGTGAGAGGGTGAGAGGGTGAGGGTGAGAGGGTGAGGGTGAGAGGGTGAGAGGTGAGGGTGTGAGGGTGAGAGGGTGAGGGTGAGAGGGTGAGAGGGTGAGAGGGTGAGGGTGAGAGGGTGAGAGGGTGAGAGGGTAAGGGGGAGAGGGTGAGAGGGTGAGGGTGAGAGGGTGAGAGGGTGAGAGGGTGAGAGGGTGAGGGTGTGAGGGTGAGAGGGTGAGAGGGTGAGAGCGTGAGAGGGTGAGAGGGTGAGAGGGTGAGGGTGAGAGGGTGAGAGGGTGAGGGTGTGAGGGTGAGAGGGTGAGACGGTGAGAGGGTGAGAGGGTGAGGGTGAGAGGGTGAGAGGGTGAGGGTGAGGGTGAGAGGGTGAGAGGGTGAGGGTGAGAGGGTGAGAGGGTGTGAGGGTGAGAGGGCGAGAGGGCGAGAGGGCGAGAGGGTGTGAGGGTGAGGGTGAGAGGGTGAGGGTGAGAGGGTGAGAGGGTGAGAGGGTGTGAGGGTGAGAGGGTGAGAGGGTGAGAGGGTGAGGGTGAGAGGGTGAGAGTGAGAGGGTGAGGGTGAGGTGAGAGGGTGAGAGGGTGAGAGGGTGAGGGTGAGAGGGTGAGAGGGTGAGAGGGTGAGAGGGTGAGGGTGAGAGGGTGAGAGGGTGAGGGTGAGAGGGTGAGGGTGAGAGGGTGAGGGTGAGGGTGAGAGGGTGAGAGGGGTGAGGGTGAGAGGGTGAGGGTGAGAGGGTGAGAGGGTAAGGGGGTGAGGGTGAGGGTGAGAGGGTGAGGGTGAGAGGGTAGAGGGTAAGGGGGAGAGGGTGAGGGTGAGAGGGTGAGAGGGTGAGGGTGAGGGTGAGAGGGTGAGAGGGTGAGGGTGAAAGGGTGAGTGAGAGGGTGAGAGGGTGAGAGGGTGAGGGTGAAGGTGAGAGGGTGAGAGGGTAAGGGGAGAGGGTGAGGGTGAGAGGGTGAGGGTGAGAGGGTGAGAGGGTTGAGGGTGAGTGAGAGGGTGAGGGTGAGAGGGTGAGAGGGTGAGGGTGAGAGGGTGAGAGGGTGAGGGTGAGAGGTGAGGGTGAGAGGTGAGGGGAGGGTGAGAGGGTGAGAGGGTGAGGTGAGAGGGTGAGGGTGAGAGGGTGAGAGTAAGGGTGAGGGTGAGAGGTGAGAGGGGAGGGTGAGAGGGGTGGAGGGTAAGGGGGAGAGGGTGAGGGTGAGAGGTGAGAGGGTGAGGGTGAGGGTGAGAGGGTGAGAGGTGAGGGTGAAAGGGTGAGGGTGAGAGGGTGAGAGGGTGAGAGGGTGAGAGGGTGAGAGGGTAAGGGGGAGAGGGTGAGGGTGAGAGGGTGAGGGTGAGAGGGTGAGAGGGTGAGGGTGTGAGGGTGAGAGGGTGAGAGCATGAGAGGGTGAGAGGGTGAGAGGGTGAGAGGGTGAGAGGGTGAGGGTGAGAGGGTGAGAGGGTGAGAGTGAGGGTGAGAGGGTGAGAGGGTGAGGGTGAGGGTGAGAGGGGAGGGTGAGGTGAGAGGGTGAGTGAGGGTGAGAGGGTGAGGGTGTGAGGGTGAGGGTGAGAGGGTGAGAGGGTGAGAGGTGAGGGTGAGGGTGTGAGGGTGAGAGGGTGAGGGGTGAGGGTGTGAGGGTGAGAGGGTGAGAGGGTGAGGGGAGAGGGTGAGGGTGAGAGGGTGAGAGGGTGAGGGTGAGAGGGTGAGAGGGTGAGGGTGAGGTGAAGGGTGAGGGTGAGAGGGAGAGGGTGAGGGTGAGAGGGTGAGAGGGAGAGAGGGTGAGAGGGTGAGAGGGTGAGGGTGAGAGCATGAGAGGGTGAGGGTGAGGGTGAGAGGGTGAGAGGGTGAGGTGAGAGCATGAGGAGGGTGAGAGGGTGAGGGTGAGGGGGAGAGGGTGAGGGTGAGAGGGTGAGGGTGAGAGGGTGAGGGTGAGAGGGTGAGGGTGAGGGTGAGAGGGTGAGGATGAGAGGGTGAGGTGAGAGGGTGAGTGAGGGTGAGAGGTGAGGGTGAGAGGGTGAGAGGGTGGGGTGTGAGGGTGAGAGGTGAGGGTGAGAGGGTGAGGTGAGAGGTGAGGGTGTGAGGGTGAGAGGGTGAGTGAGAGGGTGAGTTGTGAGGGTGAGAGGGTGAGGGTGAGAGGGTGAGGGGGAGGGTGAGAGGGTGAGGGTGAGAGGGTGAGGGTGAGAGGTGAGGGTGAGGTGAGAGGGTGAGGGTGAGAGGGTGAGGGTGAGAGGGTGAGGTGAGGGTGAGGGCGAGAGGTTGAGAGTGAGGTGAGAGGGTGAGAGGGTGAGGGCGAGAGGGTGAGAGGTAAGAGGTGAGGGTGAGAGGGTGAGGGCGAGAGGGTGAGGGCGAGAGGGTGAGAGGGTGAGGGTGAGAGGGTGAGAGGGTGAGGGCGAGAGGGTGAGAGGTGAGAGGTGAGGGTGAGGGTGAGAGGTGAGGGCGAGAGTGGAGCGGGAGGTGTGAGGGGTGGAGGGTGAGAGGGTGAGGGTGAGAGGGTGAGGTGAGAGGGTGAGGGTGAGAGGGAGGGGTGAGGGTGAGAGGGTGAGGGTGAGAGGGTGAGGGTGAGAGGGTGAGGGTGAGAGGGTGAGAGGGTGAGGGTGAGAGGGTGAGGGTGAGAGGGTGGGGTGAGGGTGAGAGGGTGAGTGAGAGTGAGGGTGAGAGGTGAGGGGAGAGGGTGAGGGCGAGAGGGTGAGAGGGTAAGGGGGAGAGGGGGAGAGGGTGAGAGGGTGAGGGTGAGGGTGAGAGGGTGAGGGCGAGAGGGTGAGGGCGAGAGGGTGAGAGGGTAAGGGGGAGAGGGGGAGAGGTAAGGGGAGAGGTGAGAGGTGAGGGTGAGAGGGTGAGGGCGAGAGGGTGAGGAGAGGCGAGAGGGTGAGAGGGTAAGGAGGAGAGGGGGAGAGGGTAAGGGGGAGAGGGTGAGGGTCCCCGCCCGCCCCGCCTGGCAGCCCCGCGCCGGCCCACCTCGAGCTCGCGCAGAACCTCGTCCATGAAGTCGCGGGAGGTGCGCTTGTAGGCCAGCGCCAGGCGGATGGCGTCGTTGAAGAGCTGCGGGCGGCGGGCGGGCTCGGTGGGCGGCGGGCCTGCCGCCGGCTGTCCCCGCGCCGCCCCGCGCCGCCCCGCGCCGCCCCGCCCCGCCCCGCCCCGCGCCGCGCCGCCCCGCCCCGCGCCGCCCCGCGCCGCCCCGCGCCGCCTACCTTGACCACGTTGGTGCCGTCGGCGGCCGAGACGAAGTACAGCGCAGCGAGAACTTCCTGGCGAAGTTGAAGCTCCGCCGCGTCACCCTCATGTCGGCTGCGGAGGGAAGGCAGGGCGGCTCGCGGGGGCGCCGGCCCGGGACCCCGCGGGGTGGGGGGCTCCTACCGTCGATCTTGTTGGCCACCACGACGCACGGGATCTCGGGCCGGAACTCGCGGAGCTCGGCGTACCAGGCGCCCAGGTTGCGGTAGGTGACCTTCCGCTGCGCGTCGAACACCTGCGGGCGGCGCGCGGGCCTGAGCGCCCCGGGCACCGGCGGCTCCCGGCCCGGCCCGGCCCGGCCGGCCCGGCCCAGCCCGGCCCGGCCCGGCCCGGCGGCGGCGCTGCCCTCGGCTCTGCGGCCGCTTCGGCAACGCCTCTGCAGCAGCCCCGAGCGTGCCTAGACCCCCCTTTAGTTGGGGCTAAGGCCCCTTGCAGCACCCTTACTGCTGTATTCTAGACAAAGTACTTTTTACCTTTCGGCATTTTGTAGCTTATAATTTTATTGACTGTTCATGATCGAGTTTTCACCTCTTACAGGCACCGCTGAGCCCTGCAGCCCTGGGGGCCTCTCCTGCGGGGCGGGAACCCTTAAGGCATCCTGAGTGGCCACTGCGGGGCCTTCGGCCCTCCCAGGCCAGTGCCCCTGCCCACGGCCCTGGGGCCTCACTGCCCAGCAGGCGCTGGCCGCGGGTCCTGAAGGCCCAGTAGGGACGTCTGGGAGAGCAGGCCTGTAAAGAAACTTCTGGACTCTGCTTCACCCCTGGCTGTCGCTTCCGGCCACTGCTGGCCACCAGGAGGCGGGGGTGGTGTCCTGAGCCTCTCTCCCACTTTGGGGACTGGCTTGGGGAAGGGGCAGCCCCATCAGGGCCCAGGGCGGTGCCCCACGCTGCCGCCAGTGCGGTGGGGCCTGCAAATACAGGTCGCTCAGGTGCTGGCGGGACACCTTGGGCCTCAGAGGAGGGTCTGAGAGGAGCTCGTGGGCATGTCAGGGCACGGGGATCGCTCCCAGAGGAAGGGGATGAGCTCAAAGTACCCGGTACAGGTCAGAGACCAGCTCTGTGAGAGCTGGGCCTGGAGTCTGTCCCTTGAGGCATGTGCTGGCGGTGACATTTGCAAATGTTTCAAATTCTGTGCGTAAGGGACAGCTTCTCCCTTGTGTCCACACAGGCTGGCCCCGAGCGTCGCCCCACGTGATGCGGAGCAGCAGCTACCGCAAGCAGCTCAGCGGCCTGGGTGGCGTGAGCACGGGCACTGTAGGGCTCCCACCCCCTTCGGCTTCCACCCTGCGGGCAGCCAGAGGCCCCCAGGCAAGCAAGCAGGCCCACACGGCCGAGAGTAGGGGCGAGGCTGGCGGCTGTGTGGTGGCAAGAGCTGTGGCCAGCAGGAGAGGCCTAGCACTGTCTCCCCAAGGCTTTGCCATCACCCCAGGGCTGTCTGCGCTGATGCCCCAGGGACCCAGCCAACCAGGCCGCCCGCCCCCACCGAGGCCACAAGGTCCTAGTGGGGCCACAAGGCTGCCCCATCACCTTCATGTTATCCCCCGGCCCCCCGCCTCCCAGGCCAGGGCATTGGAAAACGGCAATGAGAGACTTGCGTGCCCACGGAGGGCATGAGAGGCAGAGGCCTGCCCTCGGGGGCTGCGGCGTCCCTGCTCGCTGTCCACACACTGTGCGTGGGTGTCCAGACGAGTCTTATAAATGGATCCAAAAACCGCTTTTTAGCATCTGAAAGGGCAGGCCCGGAGCAGAGCCAGGGAGAGACCCCGGACCCAGCTCCCCTGCTCTCGGCCCCGCCCCGGCTGACGCCCTCTGGGCACTGACCACCTGGCCACCAGGGTGGCCCTCGAGGGCTGTGTGTCTGTCAGCACGTGAGGGGCCAAGGAAGTCCCTGGGGCCAGAGTCCCATGGTCAGAGCCTGGCTGGGCAGGGGGACGCCTGGGGTGCCGTGCAGGCGCCTCCGCTGCAGTTGGGCTCTTGACATCCCGCCTGCTCCCACCCAGGCTGCCGTCCGCACTGTGCCCGCAATGAGCTCACATGGCGCTTCATGCCCCCCGCCACGGCCCCTACCATGATGCAGGCGTGGGCCTTGTGGTAGTAGGAGGCGTGCATGCTGTGGAACCGCTCCTGGCCCGCCGTGTCCCAGAAGTCTGCAAGGCAAGCACAGCCCTGACTGCCTGCCCGGTGGTCTCTGCAGAAAGCAGGGGGCCCCAGAGTGCTGTGGGCAGGGCTGTGGGGCTGTGGGGGGCACGGCAGAGAGGCCTCGGGGGTGCCTGGGCGCCAAGACACAGGCCCTGCCAAAGCCAAACTCAGCTGCCTGAGCATCTCGCCAGGTGATCAGGGCGGCAGTTCGTGTCCTGAGGGAGCACCGCTGTGGACACTCCGGCCGCATGGTGCCTTCTTCACCGGAGGAAGGAGCCCGTCGCTTAGAGCAGCTCTGAGCCCCGCACGCCTAGGTCTCTCCTCGACCCACTTGCCCTGTACCGAGGTCCCCTCCTCCTGCTGGCCCACCCATGGCCCAGTCGCGCGGCCTGGCCCTGTGCTGCTCACCCACAAGGACGGTCCTGCCGTCCACGGTGGCTGTGTGCTTGTACAGGGTCAGGGCATAGGTGGACAGCTGCTGCGGCCGGCTGCGCAGAGGTCAAGGAGCAAAGGAGGATGGGGGGTGAGGGAGGTGCTGGGGCTCTGGCCTGGTGGGCCATCCTCTTTCTCTGGGAGTTTATGGGATTTTGGCGGCATGGCCACTGCACTTGGGCCAGCTTCCGCTGCGCGACCCCCGTGTCGCTGCCGGCTCGCGCCCGGAGGCCTGTCTACATTTGCTCTCTATGGGGTAGGTGTGTCTGGGAAGTGCTTGCTCTCCTGGTGGGCTGCAGAGCGCCCACCTTTGTCTCAGGGACCCTTCTGTGGAAAGCCTGGTTTATCTGCTGTGACTGCAGTGTGAGGGTCAGCTCCCCTGCGGGGGCACAGGCGGGCAGAGAGGGCCAGGAGAGGCTGAGCATGTGTCCTGGCCATCCAAGCCCAAGGTCACACAGGAAACAGAATTCTACAAAGAAGCTGTCAGAAATGGACCAGGTACAGAGGACAGCGTGGTGTGCAGGCCCCTTTACGGTGGGGCTCCTGCAGATAGCCGGCTGCTGCCCGTGGCTGCTGCCTGTTTGTGTGTGAGGCCTGGTGTGGCGTCTGAGGCTGCAAGGGCTTGTGGAGTGACCAGCAAAGCCCGAAGTCCTGGTGGCGGGTGCAGAGGGCGCCTGGGGAGGTGGAGCGAGACCAGCTCGGGCCCGGCTCAGGCAGGGCCAGGGCTCCTCTCACTGTGCAACTGAGCTGGGAGGCATTTTACAGCCACCTGTGGGGCCAGGGAGGGCCTCACTGGAAACCTGCACCACGTTTGCTCCAGGTTATGACTGTCGGGAGCCCGCCTTTTGCTGTCAGGGGGCTCAGCAACTCCCACAGTCAGGGCTACCGAGGGCGGCAGGGGCTGCTCATCACCCCACCTCCTCCCAGCAGGGCAGACCCACAGCATGCAGATGTAGCCGCGGCAGGCTCTGGCGGGAGTGAAGGCTGCTCACCCTCCCAGCCCTCCGCCCGGGCCACGGACGAGGGGCGGCAGGAGCTGCCAGAGGGAGGGGCCGGGGACCGTGCGTGCCAGACCTTTAAGGATACAAGCCATCCAGGAGAAACCGCTCCATCAGTCTGCAAGGGAATGGGCAAGTTGGTCAGGTGGATGCCACCCCAGGCCCCTCCCGCTCACCCAGGACCACACCCAGGAGCAACCAATAGCCTGGACAGGTCAGATGTCCACAGTAGAAATAGTGACGTGAACCCTCATGCCTTAAACACCTGTCAGGTAAAAGCTGATTGCAGACTTAAATATGAAATGTGAAATTATCATAATAACTATTTTAGAAGAAAACAGGAAAAAAATCTCTGACACCGAGAGCTTGGTGAAGACCAAAGCGCGATCCAGCAAAGGAAAGAAAAAGGCAGGTCCTCCCCTGGTGGCGCAGCAGTTGAGTGCTGAACTGCGAAGCTGCCCGCAGCCTCTGCAGTGCAGGTTCGATCCCTGGCTGCCGGCGAGGGTCCCACATGGCGCGCAGACCTCTCCTGCCGCCCGCTGCTCCCCTCAGCAGTGTACCTCGATCCTTCTGCCTGTTCTGCTCCCCGCTCTGGCTCTGCTGAATTCTCTCACCCTCCCGCGCCTCTGACTGTACCCAGTGCTTGTATAAATAAATAAATAAATAAATAAAAAAAATTTTTTTTTTTTTTTAAAGGCAGACGGGTGTTGGTGGCGATCAGAGCCTGCCTGGAGCCCTGTGGGGAGAGGGAGCAGGTACTGGAGGCTGTGCTAGCCGCCCTGTGAGGGCCATGTCCACAGCAGCGCAGAAACCCTGTCACAACACGGGCAAAGGCATGAGAAGAGGAGTGCCCCAAGGGGGCACAGGAAGCCTGGCGCTGCCAGCAGATGGGGCAGGCAAGTCCAGGACCAGCCGCAGCGGGCCACAGCAGCGACTCCCAAGAAGGCAGAGCGCCCAACTCCCACAGCAGCCCGGAGACCTCTGGACACCTGAGGCAGCTACCGGGAAGCTGAGTCAGCATCCCTGTGCCTCTGGTCGGAAGCCTCTGCTCCCTGTGATTTCAGGGACACCATGAAAACAATGACCTCCAAGGCACTGGCCAGTGCTGGGCTGAGGACAGTGTGTGACCTCAGACAGGACAGATCCGAAGTCACAGAGGCACAGGGGGAAAGACATTGTGCACTGATGAAAGGTTCACGCTACCAAGAAGGTATAAACATCAGAATTAATAACAGAGCCCAAGTATGGAAGTAACACTGACACCACCGAAGGGCACACCACCGTGTAAGGCTTCACTGGAGTCCGATGAGTCTGGAGGCCGCAGGCCAAAGACCCGCAGGGGCGGAGACAGACAAGCCCTCCCAGCCCCTGGACATGCGCCCCATTGGGCGGGCGAGCACCAGTCAGGCCACCGCACAAGTCCTGATGAGGCTGAGATGACTGTGGTTGTACAAAATGTCTTTTCCAATAAAAATGAATGAAAGTAGGAACTGACAATAGATGAAAAATCAGACAATTCACTGATATGTGGAAATTAAACAACAATCTTAACAAATGGGTCAAAAAGTCATAAGGAAAATTAGGAAATGCCTTAAAATGAATGAAAATGGAAACACAATGTACCAAAATTTATGAAGTTCAAGAAGCTACAGCAAACTGCATCGGGCACAAAAGAGCAAATTAGGCCCAAGACTAACAGAAGGAAGGAAATCATAAATACCATGGTGGATGTGAACAAATGAAAGAATAGACAGACAATAGAGAAGAAATGAAGCCACAAATTAGTTCTTTGTAAACAAGAAAATCAACAAAATTGGCCAATCTTCACTACACTAAGAGGGAAAAGACTCAGATGATCAAAGTCAGAAGTGAAGCAGGACAGCAATGTCAACCACACAGAAGCAAGGGGGATGGTAGGAGAACAGGACAGAACACGCGCCCACTGGGCGAGCGGGACGCATGTGCCCTCAGGGGCTCGAGCAGCAGCAGAAACCAGGGCAGACAGGGCCAGCAGGGCAGAAACAGTGCCGGGGCAGGGATGCGCGGGGTGTTCGCGGGATGTCTGTGGGCTGGGCCGCTCGGGCGCGCTCTTCCGGCTGTGTCATGACATGCACCAGCATGTTTCAAACTTTTCCAAAAAACAGAAGTCACAGGAACGCCTCCCGCTTCCTTCTGGCAGGTGGGCGCCTCTCTGACCCTGGAGCCCGCTTCTGGAGCCACTGCCAGCACAGGAGAGCCCAGCACTAGCCACGGGAGCACAGATGCAGAAATGCTCTCAAGGGCTAGAAACTCAGGCTCCCGCCGAAGCCACGGCCCACTGGAAAGCCAGAGCCATCTTGAGGAACGTGGCGGCCCAGGTACACTGGGGAGACCAGGCCCACCTCTGCTCAGGTGTCCCAGGGCTCCCCCTTCTTTTAGCGCAGCCGCTTGAGGCCTCTGCTCCTCTGCTCCCACTCTCTCCCCTCCCCCGCCACCACCCTGCCAGTCATCAGCCCTTCCCCAAGTGGAAAGAGTCTCCCAGATGCCTTTGCAACCAGGGCTGCTCACAGCTGTACCCTGTGCCTGCAAGGTCACGGCTCTGAGTTGGTTCCCATCCTCCGGCCACAGCTTCACACTCCTGAGGGTGTGAAGTGCAGCTCACACTGGGAACAGGCTCCGCTCATAATGAAGAGTCCCACAAGGCAATGCACGTCCCCAAGGAACAGGGACACGCCAGTGAAATGCCTCAAAACACTTGATCCCCGCAGGCAGGACAGAAGCAGGGCGTGAACCTGCTGCGGGTTGGGGGAAGCGGCCTTGGGGGACTCCCGAGCATGAGCCTGAGCTCCTCCTCAGTCATGGACCGTCCGACCCGCTCCCCAGAGCAGCCTCTCCCTCCTGCACTCTCCTTCCCACACAAGGCCAGCTGGTGAGCAGCCCTCCAGGACAGCAGCAGCTAGAGGCCGGGCCACTGTGACTTCTCTGCTTGTTTCCTCAGCCTCATCAGCTCTGGCTTGGCTGAGCTCTGTGGCCCGAGGGGCAGACTGTCCTGTGCACAGTGAACACCATCAAGGGGAAGACAACCGCTGGGCCAAGCTACTCCAGGGGCACCAGAGGGGCCCTCGGGAAACCTCACCACACCTGGGACCAGGAGAAACAGGTATGGAGGGAACGACAAGGCCTGGCTGCGCTGGACCAGCTCCTCTGGGGACCAGCTCTTCCAAGGACCAGCTCTGGGACCAGCTCCTCCGGGGACCGGCTCTTCCAGAGACTGGCTCCTCTGGGGAGCAGCTTCTGTTGCAGCAGTGGGAGCCTGGGCTCTGGTGTGGTGGGGTCAGTGCCCAGTGCCCAGGCCTGGGGACGATGGTCCACCCTGACAGAGCCTGGCACAGGGACCACAGGCACACGGGATGGCAGGCGGAGGCTGTGACCTGCCGCCAGAGAAGGCGAGGCCTCCTGGAGGCCTGCTGTAGACCCCATTCCGGCGCCCCCAGCCAGGCGGATCCACAGTGTGAGGCCCCTGGGTTTGAGAGGCGCCGGCCCTACCCAGGCCCTTACTCGTCTCCTCTCAAGGTTTTTAGAAGCCGTGTCAGGCTGAGAGCTGGCGTGGAAGCCCCGGCTGGCCCTGCATGGGGTATCCCCACGCTGGTCAGTGTGTCTGCTGAGACGCTGTCCCACGCAGGGTCTGTCAGCATGCTGTGGCCATCGCTGCTGTCCCCGGAGCCATTCGGATTCCTGGTTTTTGTTGTTTGAGTGATGCTGACAAGCGTTGTGGAGCATTGGGCTAGCGCCCCTCTACCTGCACCAAGCTGCGCTCCATCACCTCTGTGGGTCACTCAGCGCCTGTCACGCCTGTCTTCTGAGTGCCGACTCTGGCTTCAGCCTCGGCCAGTGGTCATGGGTGGCCCACAGCTGCGAGGTACTGGCCAGTGTGTTCATGCTTGTGTGGGGGGCAGACTGTGAACTCAATGAAATGGCCCAAAACAAATCATGTCCCTAGAGAATGAGTCATGGTTACCTGAGGACAAGAATGTGCCAATAACAGATGAAGCTGGGAGCACGGAGGACCCCGCCGCACCGCAGCCAGGGCTAAGGAGGGCATCCAGCCTGCCCCGCGAGCCAAGGCAGAGGGGACACGCCAACGGCACTGTCCCCGACCCTGCAGGGCTCCCCGCAGCCAGCCCTCACTCACCCCATCAGCGCAGGCTCCCCCCAGAAAGCACCTCCGACACCCTCACTCGCGTTGCACTCCCCTCCCCCACCCCTTCTCCGCTCCCAGATCTCCACCTTGGACACAGCACATGCAGGAACTTTCCAGCTCTCACCCCCTCTTCCTGCTGCTTTGCCAGTCTCTAGGGTGACCTCCCTTTTCTCTGAAGACTCCAGGAAAAGGCCCAACTTAAGACTTGCCCCGACCCACAAGGTACACAGCAGCTCCCCCACCCCACGCACACCTGGGATCCAGCCCTGACCCCCCACGAGGCCTCGGGGCTCATGGGCTGTCCTGGGTCCGGGGGCCCGGTCTCCCCACATACTTGGACTTGCCCACGGCACTGTCCCCCAGGCAGATGATCTTCACGTAGTCATCAGCGTCGTATTTTTCTTGGTCCAGCTCACAGGGTTTGGCTTTGTCCCCAGCCATGGGCTCCTGGGTGGAGGGTGGGCTCAGCCCGGGCCGCGGTCTGGCTGCCGTCTGGGAAGGCCAAGAAGAGCTGCTGTTAGAGACAGGTTCTCTCAACCAAGTCCACGTCTTCCTCTTCCCAGGGGGGCTGGGAGGAGACCGCGAGCCAGGCCCGGCCGGCCGGGCTTCTCTGCCTCGCTGGGCCACCAAGCTCCTCGGGGTGGCGTCGCCGGGCCCCTCCCCGCGCCCCTCGGGGCCGCCCCGGGCCGCCAGGAGAGACGGTGTTCTAAAGCCAAGCCCACGCAGGGTTTCCTCACGGGCAAAACAGGGACGGAAACTGCCCAGTCACATCCGTGCGACTCCCCGCACGGGCCGGGGCAGCAGCCCCGCGGCGCCCGCGCCCCGCCGCCCCGCGCGCCCCGCGCGCCCCGCGGCTGTCGCGGCGCAGCGACCGTCGGGCAGCTCTTCCGCTCCGCAGTCATCGGGGCGCGCGAAACGCGTCTCCTTTCCACGCCGCGGCCAGGCCGGCGCCCCCGCCCCGCGGGGCCCGTCGTCCAGCCCCGCCCGGCCGGCCCCGTCCCGCCCCGCCGCGGCCGCAGCCGCAGCCGCAGCCGCAGCCCCAGCCCGAGCCCGCACCGCGGCGCGTCCGGCTCCCGGGGGCGCTGCAGAGACCCGGCCCGCAGCCTCCGCGCCGCCCGCTTCCGGCCCGCGCGTCCTCCGGCTGCTACGCAACCGCGCGAGGACCCCGAGGGCTGCCCGGCCGCCGCCTGAAGGCCCCAACGCGCGCGGCTGGCCAGCGAGGTGCCGGGCGGCAGCGGGCGCCCGCGAGGGGCGGGGCTGGACCCGACCGGCTTGGAGTCTCGCGGCGGCGGCCCCGGAGGGCGGGGCGGGCCTGCGGGGAGGACGTTGGTGTGGGCGGGGGTGGGGCCGGGGGTTCGGGTGGGCGGGGCCGGGGCCGGGCGGGCCCGGGGGCTCGGGTGGGCGGGGCCTGAGCGTGGGCGGGGCCGGGCGGGCCCGGGGGCTCGGGTGGGCGGGGCCTGGGCGGGGGCGGGGCCGGGCGGGCCCGGGCGGGCCCGGGGGCTCGGGTGGGCGGGGGCGGGGCCGGGTGGGCGGGGGCGGGGCCGGGCGGGCCCGGGGGCTCGGCGCTCCCCTGGCGTCTGGTCCGCGGCGGCCGCGGCCTCGGGGGGCTCGGGGGGCTCGGGGGCTCGGGCGGCGCCCGCTGCGCTGCTGCTCCTCGCGCGGCCCCGCTCGCTGCCGGCGCACGTCGCGCCCCCAGCCGCCTGCGCGCCGCGGCCCGGGGCTCCGCGCTCCGTCCCGGGACCCCCGCACCCGGGTGGTGGCGGGGCAGAGCCGCTCCCGGCTGGGCGGCCGCGGTGACCGCCGGGCGGAGCCCGGGGGCGGCGCCCGCCCGGGGCCTCTCGTGCGAGCAGCGGCCGCGGACAGGGACGCGCGGGTCCGCCCGGGCCGTCTCCCTCAGCCCCGCGGCCTGCCGGGCTCCCGGCTCCCGGCTCCCGCTTCCTCGGGCGCCCCCGCTGCTGCCGCGGGCGGGGCCCGCCAGGCCTCTGGCCGAGAGGAGCCGCCCAGGACCCTCCGGCGGGGGCTCCTCTCGGGCCCAAACAGCCGCGGGACGGGAGGGCTCGGCCAGTGCGGTGACGGCGCGGGGGGAGGTCGGGAGGCGCTGAGCTGGGCGGGGAGCTGCGCGCACATGTTGCTCGTGGCCTGTCTGCTCCGAGCTAGTTTTCCAGCCCGGGGACACGCGTGGGAGCGGCGGGAGGCGGGAGGCCAGGCGGGAGGCCAGGGCCGGCTGCAGCCCGGCCTCAGCACAGGGCCGGGCCCGAGGCCAGCGGGGCGCAAGGGAGCTGGGGCGGCGGCGGGGAAGGCTGCCTGCTGCTGAGCTCTCTTTGGTCCACTCAGTATAAAAAGGCAGTTGGAAATGAAATGTAAAGGCAGGTTTTTTAAATTTTATATATTTTTTACATCGTTCCTCATTTTTTAACAATGTATGCTTTCTCATCTCAGTTACAGTCACCACGAAATTCCCACCGCCAGTTCACCCGTGCACCATCACCATAGTCCCTTGTGCTCTTCCCACCCCAGTTTTGATCCTATTCCCCTCTCCCTCTGCAGAATGTCTCTGATTTATACTTGCTTGTTGATTTTGATTTTCACTTTATTATAATAACTTCCCCCCCATCCCTTATTTGAATCCTCTACATTCCTCCTGTAAGTGAAACAATCCAGTATTTTTCTTTTTCTTTCTGGCTGATTTCACTGAACATGATCCCTTCTAGCTCCATCCATTTTGCTGCGAATTGCATGAACTTACTTTTTTCGATTGCTGAGTAATAATCTCTTGTGTATATGGACCACATCTTCTTGATCCAGTCATCTATTTTTGGGTATTTGAGTTGTTTCCACAGCTTACCTATTGTAAATAGTGCTCTAATAAACATAGGGGTGCAGGTGTCCTTTTTTTTATTTTTTTTTATTTTATTTTATTTTTTTTTATAGAGGCATGCTTTATTTATTTATTTGTTTGTTTGTTTGTTTTGTTTATACATGCACTGGGTACAGTCAGAAGCGCGGGAGGGTGAGAGGATTCACCAGAGCCAGAGCGGGGAGCAGAGCAGGCAGAAGGACCGAAGTACACTGCTGAGGGGAGCAGCGGGCGGCAGGAGAGGTCTGCGCGCCATGTGGGACCCTCCTCCGGTGGCCGGGGAGCAGCTGGGGATCGAACCGGCGCCGCAGAGGCTGCGGGCAGCTTCGCAACCCAGCGCTCAACCGCTGCGCCACCGGGGAGGCCCGCAGGTGTCCTTTTGAATTAATTTTTTTGTGTCCTTTGTATAGATACCCAGGAGTGGAATTTTTGGGTTATATGGAAGCTCCATTTCTAGCAGTTTTAGGAACCTCCACACAGCTTTCCATAGTGGTTGGACCAGTTTACTCTCCCACCAGCAGTGCAGGAGAGTTCCTTTTTCTCCACATCCTCGCCAGCATATGTTGCTAGTTTTTTTTTTTTTTGATATGAGCCATTCTCACTGGTGTGAGATGGTATCTCATTGTAGTTTTTTTTTTTTTGACATTTTATTTATTTATTTATTTATTTATTTATTTGTTTGTTTGTTTGTTTGTTTGTTTATACATGCACTGGGTACAGTCAGAAGCGCGGGAGGGTGAGAGAATTCACCAGAGCCAGAGCAGGGAGCAGAGCAGGCAGAAGGACCAAAGTACACTGCTGAGGGGAGCAGCGGGCGGCAGGAGAGGCCTGTGCGCCATGTGGGACCCTCCTCCGGTGGCCGGGGAGCAGCCGGGGATCGAACCGGCACCGCAGAGGCTGCAGGCAGCTTTGCAACCCAGCGCTCAACCGCTGCGCCACCGGGGAGGCCCTCTCATTGTAGTTTTGATTTGCATTTCCCTGATTACGAGTGATGTTGAACATTTTTTCATATGCCTGTTGACCATTTGCATTTCCTCTTTGGAGAAGTCTCTTTTAAGCTCTTCTGCCCATTTTTTGACTGGGTTGTTTACTTTGTTTTTGTTGAGTGTCATCAGCTCTTTGTAGATCTTTGTGATCAGTCACTTATCATTAGTGTTGCGTGCAAAAATTTTCTCCCAATCAGTGAGGTGTCTCTTTGTTTTGGTTACTGTCTCTTCTGCTGTGCAGAAGCTCTTTGATTTGATGTTGTCCCAGCTGCTTATCCTTTCCTTCACTATCACTGCTTTGGGTGATGTGTCTTTAAAGATGCTACAGAGGTGTACATCATATAGTGTTTCACCTATTTTTTCTTCTATATATTTTATGGTTTCAGGTCTTATGTCTAGTTCTTTAATCCATTTTGAGTTGGTTTTTGTGTATGGTGTGAGGTAGTAGTCATGCTTCATTCTTTTGCATGTAGCAGCCCAGTTTTCCCAGGACCATTTATTGAACAAACTTTCTTTGTTCCATTGCATATTCTTTACTCCTTTGTCAAAGATTAGTTGTCCACAAATCTGTGGGTTTATTTCTGGGTTTTCTGTTCAAGTCCATTGGTCTGTGTGCCTGTTCTTGTTGCAACACCATGCAGTATTGATTATTATGGCTTTGTAGTATAGTTTGAAGTCTGGGTGTGTGAAAACTCCATTACCTTCTTTTTTAGTCAGGAGAGCTTTGGCTATTTGGGGTTTTTTGTGGCTCCATATGAATTTCATCGATATTTGTTCTATTTCTTTTTCTAAAGATTTATTTATTTATACATACAAGAGCTGGTGTACAGGCCAGAGGTGTGGGGGGTGAGAGGATTCACCAGAGATAGAGAGGGGAACAGAACAGGCAAATTGACCAAAGTACACTGCTGTCTGCAGCCTCCACAGTGGCTTCCTGCACTCTCCCAAACGTGTCCTTGGGCTCGAAAATTAGCTCAGAGCAGACAGGCCACGAACAGTGTGTGTGCAGATTTCCTACCATACCAACTCAGTGTCTCACGATCTCCTCCCCCTCCCTAACCCTATCATCCCCCCATTAGTTAAAACCTTTATGTCTATGAAGTTGTTTCCAGTTGAAGATGACACTCTGCTGTTGTGCATAGAATTCATTGTGGTCCTTGTGATGGCTCCTCTTGAGCTATGAGTCCTGCGCAGGTGAGGGGAGCAGTGCTAAGGGGAGCAGTGGGCAAGTCAGGAGAGGTCTGCTGTGCCATGTGGGTTGCTCCCTGGTGGCTGGGGATCGAACTTGTGCTGTGGAGGCTGCAGGCAGCTTCATAGGTTGCGTCTTAACCCCTTGTGCCGCCAGGGAGGCCCTTTGGGACTTCTTGTGGTATTTTTTGGAGTGGGGGTTTAGTCATTATGAAATTATGGAGTTTCTGTTTGTTTGAGACATATCTTTGATATCAGTCCCTTATCTGTCATATGGTGTGTAAATATTTTCTTACATTCCGGGGGGTGTCTCTGTTTTGATGACTGTCTCTTGCTGTGCTGAGGATGCAGGTTGATATAGCCCCAGCTGATTACACTGTCCTTTGTTCCCCTTGCTTCTGGAGGGAATCCTCCAGGTGTCTCTGAGTTTTGTGTCATTCAGTTTTCTGCCTGTGTTCCCT